CTACCCCGGATCTTCACGGGTCAGAGAGAGAGGGAGAAAGAGAGAGACAGAGACAGAGAGAGAGAGACACAGAGAGAGAGAGACACAAAGACAGAGACAGATATGACCCTATAACCTTCTGAAATTCCCACCAGCAAAAGACAATAGGCGAGAGCATCAAGACAAAGGCAATGGCTGTTTAAGAAAAAGACAAAGAAGTTGTGTTACGCTCACGCTAAACACAACCAGTAGTTATGAGTCCGTGATTTCTAATTTCTGATTTACCGGTTCAATCCTGCATAGCCAGATTTCTTTCTCAAAACCGTTCCAACGAAGCGAATACGTTTATCTCACAAGGGACTTTGAAACAGGTGAAACAAAACAACATAGACCTGAACAGAAATGGTTTCAAAGACACAGAAAATCAAAGTAAGGTTTTCCACACTCGGTAAACTGTATCACCGAGAAAATTAGTAATGATGTTGATATAACACACGTGATGCTGTTCATGGTCAAAGAACCCTGGCATTTCGTCCTTCGACAAGAAAGATTCATTCAAGACACCTGTATATGCAGCAAAACTTCAGCAAACATAGTGAGCTCGAGAGACAGGATGTCTTACATAATTCATGAAGGGCTTGACATTTCTGTCAAAAAAAGGATAATTGCTATGATCTGCTAACAGGAGACGGTGTTTACTATAACGAGACTCTATTTGTTATACTCATGCTTGTGAAGGAGATGCGGTGAAAAAAATGCCAAGGTGGTGATTTGTTGCGTGGAAGTCCTCTTCAGACACCCACTCAAAATTTGCTAAGGATAAAGTTTTCATGACATATCAACATCTAAACAAATGAAGATTGAAATATCCAAGGTCACAATAATTGATAAGGCCTTGGAAACATCAGTACTAACGGACAAACATAGATTACTGTTTCAGAACTGCTCATTACATAGTGATGCCTACGTACAAAGATTTCTGAATCTTATCATTCATCCCATCTTCTATTTAGTTGTGGAATACATAACCCGTTAAACAAAGAAATATTGAAACCTTCTCCAAATTTAAGTCCAGTCGAAAAACAGATAAATCAACAATTCCACCATATGTCTTATGTGGTCTCAGAAAAACGTAACATATGCAAATTAAGACATGATGACAGTAAATTTATATCGTTGTTTCGCACAATCATTAAACGAGGATAAAAAATACCGATGCGACCCCAAGAGGTTTATGATCATAACAAAGAAAATACCCCTTCTGGCTGCAGAGTGAGTGGAAACCAGAAAGATGCCATTACTGTTTTTCAGTGGTCTGTTTATAGCTACTTTGCCCCTTAGACCACGTGGAATTTGTTTCGGTGTAAAATCAAGCTTGGATATTCTCTTGCATTGAAGTTATGTACTTATATCAGCCAAGGAATCAAGGTAAATATCGTTAACCTTATATATCTAAAATCGATGGCCTTTTTGTTGTGTGGCAGCACTGCTGCGGCATATCACGGCCGAAGTGTAAATAAAGTTCAGTAGCAATGTTTAAACTAGATCACTCTTTCACTAATATAGAAACAGTGGTCTTAACGTTGGGGTCTGTGCGTTGTATCTCATAAAATAATTGCTCATAAAGCTGTACAAAAAGGACAATGTTTAAAAAATCAGAAAATATCTGTTCATAAATTGCGATACATTTTTTCCTGATAGTATGCTGGAAATGACGATCCAAATGGTGTTGTTTGGAGGACAAAGTACGACTAGAGACCCGGAAACGTAAAGGAAACGATCTATCGAGAATGGGCGTTGGACATCAAACAGTTATATACTGTCCAACCATGGCAATATTGTTTTGCTCACACATGTATAAACCATGGAGAGACGTTCTTTCTTTAAATAAAAGAAATACATTTCACACTCATCTTGGCCATATTTTATTAGTGCTTCTTCTTGCGTTTCTGGAAATTCTGACTCACTTTGATATTCCAGAACAACGTTAGGATAGCATCAAACAATCTAAGCTTATTCTAAAGCGAAAATATATGTAGGTAAATTATTACGGAACTGCGGGGACAATCGTCGCATACTTCGTTATGTGAGTACTCAGATCAATGGTACGTGTTAGTTACCGAGGCTGACAAGCTTCTGAGGTGACATTGAAGTTGGATTTGAAATGCTCCCTATTTTGAAAACATTCATACAAAAATAATTTCTTCAAATGTTCCACATCATTTCAAAGTACAGGAAACACCAGCAGTTTCATTTTTCGATATAACACTATTTCGTGCAAGAAATGACGCTTTGATGTAAATTTTATGCATGCAACTTCCAGGACTCTTCATACTGGTTCATCACTCGTAAAGTTTCGGGTTAGAATTGGTCTTCAGCAAACCATGCATGTCGTAAGAGGTCATTTGCTTGTCAGGGTAGCGTTGTGTATGACAGTTTAGCCTAAGACTGTTAGCATGGTGAATAACATCGTAGCTCTTCCCAACACAGAGGTGTGTATGACAGTTTAGCCTGAGGCTGTTTAGCATGGTGTATAACATATAGCTCTTCCCCACATAGCGGTGTGTATGACAGTTTAGTCTGAGACTGTTTAGCATGGTGTATAACATAGCTCTTCCCCACATAGCGGTGTGTATGACAGTTTAGCCTGAGATTGTTTAGCATGGTCAATAACATCGTAGCCCTTCCCAACACAGCGGTGTGTATGTCAATTTAGCCTGAGGCTGTTTAGCATGGTGTATAACATCGTAGCCCTTCCCAACACAGCGGTGTGTATGACAGTTTAGCCTGAGGACTGTTTAGCATGGTGCATAACATCGTAGCCCTTCCCAACACAGCGGTGTGTATGACAGTTTAGTCTGAGCCTGTTTAGCATGGTGTATAACATAGCTCTTCCCCACATAGCGGTGTGTATGACAGTTTAGCCTGAGACTGTTTAGCATGGTCAATAACATCGTAGCCCTTCCCAACACAGCGGTGTGTATGACAGTTTAGCCTGAGACTGTTTAGCATGGTGTATAACATAGCTCTTCCCCACATAGCGGTGTGTATGACAGTTTAGCCTGAGGCTGTTTAGCATGGTGTATAACATCGTAGCTCTTCCCCACATAGCGGTGTGTATGACAGTTTAGCCTGAGGCTGTTTAGCATGGTGTATAACATAGCTCTTCCCCACATAGCGGTGTGTATGACAGTTTAGCCTGAGGCTGTTTAGCATGGTGTATAACATAGCTCTTCCCCACATAGCGGTGTGTATGACAGTTTAGCCTGAGACTGTTTAGCATGGTGAATAACATCGTAGCCCTTCCCAACATAGCGGTGTGTATGACAGTTTAGCCTGAGGCTGTTTAGCATGGTGAATAACATCGTAGCCCTTCCCCACATAGCGGTGTGTATGACAGTTTAGCCTGAGACTGTTTAGCATGGTCAATAACATCGTAGCTCTTCCCAACACAGCGGTGTGTATGACAGTTTAGCCTGAGGCTGTTTAGCATGGTGTATAACATGACAGTTTAGCCTGAGCTCTTCCCCACATAACGCGGTGTGTGTATGACAGTTTAGCCTGAGGCTGTTTAGCATGGTGTATAACATATAGCCCTTCCCCACATAGCGGTGTGTATGACAGTTTAGCCTGAGACTGTTTAGCATGGTGAATAACATCGTAGCCCTTCCCAACACAGCGGTGTGTATGACAATTTAGCCTGAGGCTGTTGAACATGGTGTATAACATATAGCCCTTCCCCACATAGCGGTGTGTATGACAGTTTAGCCTGAGGCTGTTTAGCATGGTGAATAACATCGTAGCCCTTCCCAACACAGCGGTGTGTATGACAATTTAGCCTGAGGCTGTTGAGCATAGTGTATAACATAGCTCTTCCCCACATCGTGTGGTGTATGACATTTCAGCATAATCATCGTTTGGCTTGGTGAATGACATTGCTGCTATACCCAGTTAGCGTTTTAGCACGAGGTGATTTACCATGATGTATGGCATTGCCCACATAGCGCTGTGTATGTCGTGTTTGTTTGAGGTTATTAACATGGTGTATAACCTGTAGTTCCAGCTAGCGTAGATTTGTGTAGCAGTGTAGCTCTGCCCGAGATAGCATGATGTATAACACGGCTCTACCCAACATACCACCACCCACCTCCACCTATCCCCGATTTAAACACGCACACATACAGTAAAAATGTTACACTGACAGAAACACTGGCATAAATGCAAACACACATACGCGCGCGCACACGCACGCACACACACACACACACACACACACACACACAACGCATTTACTCTCACTCAAACAATCTCTGTCCCACTCCCCCCCCCATACACACACGCACGCACACGCACGCACACACACAGACACATTCCAAATGCATCCATAGAGTGATATAAGGTTAAAATTGATCACCAGAGTTGACCACGTGGATCTGTGACATGGTTCATTGCATTCCTAGTACCCTGTGACCGCTGGTCGCTGCTCACTCTATCGATCACCAGATTGAGTGGCCAAAACTCGATGTGATAAAAGCCACTGTTATTTGCTTAAATACTTTCGAGGACAGCGTCAAACAAAAAACAAACAAGTCCAATACACAATGTCCTAATTTTCGTACACCACTTGCATAATATATTTACATTTCAATAACATTCACATACGCAGCTAACAGGCATGCATTTATAGTTCTCCACTAGGTCCTATGTTTATTTTGTCACCATGGGTTGGTATTTGTTGTATCTGACCCAACGTAGCCCATGTCAAAAGACAAAGAAAGTTAGTGTCATGTCACATGCTGGAGGCTACACCTATCAGTGGTTATCCACGACGTATTTGAACTATTTTATTACTTTTTGAAAAGCTGTGTAATCTTCTCCAGTTGTTTCTATATTTCAAAACCTCTCATGCGTGACACTGCGTGATTCAAAATGCGGATGTGCACCTGTATGGGCGTCTTGTGTCGCTATTGAAATGAAATAGGTCAGGGAAACATGCAGCGTGAATGCTTACAATTGCTTTACACACACGCACACCCGTAACCTGCTCTGCTTTACTATTGAAAATAGCGGCGTGACTGGGTGGACCACCATTGTGAATAATGTAAACAAGAATACCCCTTTATATATACCCATCCAGTCAGCATTGCCAAGTTCACGGAAGGGATAACACAGCGAGATCTGGGGTAAAAGTGTCTCCTTGGCTTAACCCAATATTAGTTTATGGAACTATATCTTTTTCAGTCTTTCTAATTTGACTGTGCTGGAAACTGTTTTTTGTGGTTGGTGAGATGTTTCAACAATGGAAGAAGACATGTTGCTAATCCATGGTTTCACAAAATGGTGGACGTAGAAGGTACGCTCATCCAGGAAGTAGACTGAGTGACACGCCTTGTCTGGGCAACACGGTGGGTAGAAAGCATTCAGTTGACGCTCTGTACTCAGTTTAACTCCTATCCATCACTCTTATCGTTGTTTACGTAATAGTAACCACAGCAAAATGACGTACATCCGAATTCATTTTACTCGATTACAGAGATGTGACTTAGTAAAGTCATGATGCCAGCTAACACAGCAAATATTACTTACGAGACCAGTTACTTTATCATGAACACGAAATTGGTATGTGTAACGTATCACAGTGGATCGATCCCGTTTGTATATTGTTACGGCAATAACCTTTATTGGTTGTTCCGAATGCACAACTTGCCCTGATTATGATTCTTGATTCTTGATGCGGTCTAGTGAGTACTAGTAATTCCATTTGAGACCAGCATCATTGCAGCTTTCAAATTAAATAAAATATGTTTTGGGGTTTTGTGTTGTTTTGGGAGTTTGGGGTTGTTGTCTTAGTGTTGTTGTTGTTGCTGGGTGGGTAGAGAGGGTGACCCCGCACCCCGCATTCCAGCTATATGGCATCGATCTTTAAAACATCGAGTCTGGATCAGACAGTGCAGTGATCAACAGCATGAGCTTCTGTCTACACAATTGTGATACACTGTTAGTCGCCTCAACAACAATGGGGGTGCGGAAGACCAATTCTAATGTGGATCTTTACTGACAGAACCCATTTTGTAAATGATAAATACAAAACAAAAACACCACACTCACTAAGCTGCGTGGATGTTCCAATCACCTATTTGTAAATTTGTTTGCTTAGGTACCTGTCAGGAGTCATGTTTCAGTAAAGATGTTCAGTTAACCGCAGATGTTTTCCTCCCCCAGTGTTCCGGAAACAAGTACCTGTGTGAGATATGTCGGGATCACTGTTCCTCCCGTGCTGTCTGTGGACTGCCAAGGACGAGGATGGGGAGGTGTACACTAAAACAGAACCACCAGCAGGAGCGGAGGAGATCTCTGGAGGTATGTAAGTCAAATAAGGCGGGGATCATTCCGAATTGCAAAATGATAAAATCACTACCTTTTCGTCAAAAGGCGAATGGATATAACCAATATTTATAATGAGAATGCATCACATATAAGATACAATCCAGATATTTGTTATGGTTAAACCGCCATAATTTACACAATATATTTCACCGCTTACTAGAGGCTGTGGGGTAGCCTACTCGTCACGCCGCAGTCCCGGGTTCGATTCCCTACATGGGTACAATGTGTGAAGTCCATTTCTGGTGTCCCCCGCCGTGATATAGCTAGAATGTTGCTAAAAGCGGCGTAAAACCAAACTCACTCACTCATTCACTTACTACTAAGTGGATCTGGGGGTGTAATTAAAATTTAGGCGTAGTTATAGGCGCTGCACATCGGCAGTATTTATGTCGTTATGAAGCGCAAGTGACCTTTGTCCATTGAATTGTTTTAAGCTGTGTAGTATGTTTATGAATCATTGAATATAAGCACTTTGTGATTGTCATTTTGTGATTCAGCTGTGAGAGAAGAGAAGGGTGCCAAAGACGCTGGGCATCTTGGGGGTGAGGAGGAGGAGCAGGACTCTGTAAGACCTGGTGGCGGGGACAATACAGGGGTGGTGGAGGAACCAGAGGACACCAATACGACACAGACATTTCATCAGCATGGTGAAAGTGGAGATACATTATGCGAGGAGAAAGCAGAGGAAACCAGGCCTACAAATGAAACTGATAAGGATGAACACGAAGATGAACTGAATCAGGATTACAAGAGAACAAAGGAACTAGATGAGCATGATGAAAGCAAGGATCCATCAGATCCATCAATGAACAGGAAATCACAGGACGCCAGGACCACACAGGAATGTGATCACAATGAGGATCCATCCAGGGAGGGAGAACCAGGTGACACTGGACCAACACAGGACTGCGGTAAGACTGATCCTTCTTTTGAGAGGGACCAACGTGGGACTACACCTGGATCTGATCAACTTTGCTCAGTTGACGATACAGTCACAGGGACACAGGGAATTGACCAGCATTGCGGGAAGTGATGATTTGTTGATCAACAAGGAACTAGGGATCTCTGGGACACCACCGGGATCCGATCAACACGACACAGTTGAAGATACGGGGACCAAGAGAGGATCAATTGCATCTTCAGGATCGGAACGACACAGTGGAGGGGAGTTTACAGTGAATGAGATTGGGCCACTGGGAGCTACGGACTCACTCCTAGAGAATGAGAACACACTGAAAGAGACTGAGATCAAACCAGAGGAGGATGAGACCACACTTCAGGAACATGAGATAACACCGCAAGAGAATGTGACCACGCGTCAGGAGCAGGAGACCACGCGTCAGGAGCATGAGACCACCCTGCAGGAGAATGAGACCACGCGTCAGGAGCAGGAGACCACACTGCAGGAGAATGAGACCACGCGTCAGGAGCATGAGACCACGCGTCAGGAGCAGGAGACCACACTGCAGGAGAATGAGACCACGCGTCAGGAGCATGAGGCCACACTTCAGGAGAATGAGACCACGCGTCAGGAGCAGGAGACCACACTTCAGAGAATGAGACCACGCGTCAGGAGCAGGAGACCACACTGCAGGAGAATGAGACCACGCGTCAGGAGCAGGAGACCACACTTCAGAACGAGAACGCCGCCGCAAGAGCAGGAGACAACTCCACGTGAGACTGACACAACTCATGAACTCTGTCAACAAGATGGAAGTGAAGACCCGTCGGAGGTGGACTATTCCCAGGTGGCTGGTACCACACAAGACTTAAATCAAGACCCCGAAAACAGGGATCCTCCGAGTGACAGTGAAATACCCATCACGATTCCTGGACAAGAATTCGAAGATCAGGTTTTATCTGACGATACAGGGAATGTAAAGGAGCCACCAGATGTTGAAACTACAGGGGAAGGTCACAGTGAACTAGAGGATGCGTCATGTGACAAGGAGCAACAGGACCATGAGGCTGCACAGGATTATGTCGAGCAAGGTAAAAATAAGCAGCTTTGACGTGCAGTATGGAGTATAATGCTCAAAATTATTCTCTTTTCGTATTTAACGACTGTTGTGTATTGTTTGCATTTGTCCGGACTTATCACGTATTTGCTAGCCATACCATTATACACTTTTACATACACAATCCCCTTAGACACACAATTTTCCCCGACCAATGTCTGTTTTTCCCGTTAACGCCCACTGCCATACAGGGTAACAACAAGTACCATAAATGAGCATTTGATTGTCTGACGCTGTCAGGAGATGTAACCACCGTTCTTGAATTTACCACCGTGATTTACTAAAACACAGAACACACTGCACAGAGATGTATGTTGAACTGTATACTTACATATTGGCTCCACTGTTGTAATAAACCGTTTCTTCTCTGCAGTATTAAGTGAGCTGGAACATGCTGCTGATGACGTTGATGTTGACGTTGACGTCAGTGAGACGTTACAGTTTCCTAATCAAGGTAAGGCGAAAGCAGAGAACAAATAACCGTCAAGTCACTTAAAGTGAATCTGTGGGTATTATCGTACCAGCACTGGTGCTGGTGCTGATGAGTGAGTGAGTATGGTTTTACGCCTCTTTTAGCAATATTCCTGCAACATCACGGCGGGGGACACCAGAAATGGGCTTCACGCATTGTACCCATGTGGGGAATTGAATCCGGGTCTTCAGTTTGACGAGCGAACGCTTTAACCACTAGGCTACCCCACCGCCCCTTGGTACTGATGAAGATTGTACACTACGAATTGCCTGTTAGATAGCTTTGTTATTCATTTTTGAGCGTCATTGGGACAGCGGATGTAACGTCTACGCCACAGCATAACAACTGCAACTTCACGACGACCTGAACCAGGTTGACCATGGTTTATATAAGTATATATGGCCGCGGTGTCAGGTACCAATGACCGTCTTAGTCAGTCCATACATTGTAACCACGCGATTCTCAGTTTACTGTCCTCAATCTCATTGAAGATTTGTCCAGCTAATGTCAGTAAAACACGTCGATACTTCAAAGACATGCATAATGTAATGCTGATAGCATGTGACTTCCCTTACTTCTTCAGTACCGTGACACTGTTTGTATCTGTTCTTATTGGCACCATTGGCACCAACGGGATTAAATGGCATCATTTAGAAGCACGCACAAACATTAGATTTAAAGATGATGATGATGTTAATGATTATGTTTGAGTGCTTATATATATTGTTACAGAAACCCATTAAATACAATAATTATGATGATGATATGGTCATAATGAATATGATGATGATTGAGTGCATGTATATTGTTACAGAAACCCATTAAATATGATGGTGTGATGATGATGATGATGATGATGATGATGATGATGATTGAGTGCATGTATATTGTTACAGAAACCCATTAAATATGATGGTGATGATGATGATGATGATGATGATGATGATTGAGTGCATGTATATTGTTACAGAAACCAATTAAATATGATGGTGATGATGATGATGATGATGATGATGATGATGATGATGATGATGATGATGATGATGATGATGATGATGATGATGATGATGATGATGATGATGATGATGATTGAGTGCATGTATATTGACAGAAACCCAACAACCCTCTCCCGACAAACGCCTGGACACCGCTCTCCACGACGCCTGCCGACTTGGTGACCTACAGCGAGTGAAGGACATCCTGGCCGAGGGACAACTGGACATCAACTGTAGAGGAAGTGGAGGACAGACACCCGTGATGACTGCAGTACGAAAGGAACATAAACAAGTGTCCCACTTCCTTGCCGATGAAGGAGCTGACTTGTCGCTAAACGCTGACGATGGTAACAACGTCCTTCACTACGCCTGTCGTGGAGGACAAGTCGAAATGGTGAAGACTGTCCTGGCCACGAATATGGTTGACATCAACAGTAGAGGTCAGGGCGGGAGGACACCCCTATTATGGGCAGCTGGGTGGGGTCGTGCCGCCATCTTTGAAATTCTTGCGCAGGAGGGGGCTGATCTGACGGCAGTGAAAGATGGCGGTAACAACATCCTCCATGTCGCCTGTCATGGGGGCGATATGGTGATAGTTAAATATATCCTGTCTCAGGATGTGGTGGACCTCAGCGCAAGGAACAATGATGGTGAAACAGCAGCCATGATAGCCAAACGACGTGGACATTACCCAATTCAGAAACTTCTTGCGTCTCGTGGTTGCCCCTTGAAGTAAGGCATAAGAGGCAGTGATTGCAAGATATGTATTATATATGGTTTCCTAAGAGCTGACATAGAGTAGAAAAACTTCAAATGTTGACTTCATGAATCAGAGATAGTTAAAACGTTGTCGATGCTTCGCGGTATACACCCGTGAATACAGATTCCAATCACCCGTGAATATATATGTCAACATTGCAGTCGCTGTTCAGGCAGTGTCCAAAAAGAATGGAATTTGACTTCATCGGTCATTAAAGCAATAAAGCTACATAACCTTTTCCACCTCCAGGAATATATATGGGACAAGTCAAACTAGGGAATTGCGTCAGACACAACTTTTGTCAACGATGCTATCATTTATTTGATAGACTTTAAACATATACGTGTCCTAACTCCGTCGTATTTCATCCGTACGTTTTCGTTTGTTTTGTTTGTTTGTTTCTTGTTCAATGCTGGACAGAGCAATGTTCCAGCTGTTTATTGGCTGTCTGTAATTAATCCAATCTGGACCCAACCATCCTGTGATCAACACCACGAGCATCGATCTATGCAACTGGGATACGATGACGTGTGTCAGTCAGACCTGTCCACGTGAGCTCGTTAGTTGCCTCTTATGACAAGCATGGGTTGCTGAAGACAAAGTCTAACCTGGATCTCCACGGGTACCGTACGTATAAAATGGGTGATGGAAGAACGTACTGTGGACAACGTATTGACAGTGGCGTAACTTCGGGGAAAATGGGATTAATCAAAATCACGTTAACTTGGCATTACTTGTGGTGATTAGAAATGGACTATCACCCAGACAGGTATTTGTCGAGCTCTCATCAACTCAACTAGTAGGTACAAATGTTAATCAGTGACAGTTCCAATGAGAGCTGCATAGATAATCAGAATTATTTCAAGGACAGTTATCACTCCCAGATGAATTAGTAACAAGTATAATAATATGACTTTTGTACTTTGTAATTATTACCCTGTGTGCTACCTCGGCATATGCATTCACGTTTGTAGTGCCACACGGAGTATTATGAATGAACATATAGATGCACTTTTTATTGTGTTGACTAGTAGCATAGATATCTTAAGTTTCCATATTTAACCAGAGACTTATAAACATAACTTCAAACACGTGAGAGATGGTTACAAATACATTATCAAATCTGACAATACTTCTTTCAGTTTTCATTTACATTACAATTTACATTTCAGTTAGGAAAGTGAGATTGTTCAAATTTGTTTCTGTTCACCCAGCAGAAAATGGGTACCCGGTGGGATAAGTCATGTGACTATGAACCTTCTAGCGCCTCATGGGCAGCTTGGGTTATCCAGGGTTATACTAATCAGAGTATATTTGTGCTCTTAAAGCAGGACATGAAGCCTGGAAAGGCGCGTTATAAATATTCAGCATTATAATTATTATTATCATTATAATTACAAAAACCGGTTTTCGATATTCTCCTGACCCTCGGTGTATATAGCGGTGCATTGTGACCTCAATAAAGTTAAAGAAATGTTTACTGGCGTCGATGTCTGTATAGAAAACTATGACAAATCCAGTCTATGGGAGGGTGTGCGTTAGATGAATGGATCATTGCATGCAGCAGCAGCAGCTGGGAGTAGGGAGCCAAGCTGACAAGACACTGTTATCTGATGGATCCAGGTTTCATCTGAACAGCAGCTGCATATCCTGAAGTGATCTGGAGTGGCCAAGGGGATGTTTCGCGACGTTTTCCATTTAATTTACCATTCTTATGAACTTGATTTTGTTTGTCTGTTGTCGCATTCAGCAATGATCTATGTATATGACGGCAGTAAGAATATTATAGTCTTGACCAGACAATTTTGTGATTGATATCATGAGCATCAATCTACGATGGGATACGACGACGTGCATGAACTAAGTCACTGAACCTGACCACCCGGTGTCGTAAGTCGGCTTTAACTACAAACATGGTTTTCTGAAGACCAATTCCAACCCGCATATCATCGGGACATGTTCTTCAGCATGGAAGTGCAAAGGAACATCATTGTTAATGTTTGAATGGTGTACTCCGGCAGCCAAACACGCATATACACGTGCACATGCGCATGCACACGCACTACTACATTGCCATATATGTGCAATAATATCTTAAACAATTCACCACTAATGTTGTATAATATATCGCACAAACTAAAATGAGAAGACATAGACGACTAGAATAGATGTATAGTTTCAGAGTTAATAATATTGTTATTGATCGTTACTTTTAATTGAATGAATTGGTTTACGTCTTTGTTGTAACGCCGCACTCAACAATATTCCATGTATATGAATGTATGACAACGTGGTATGTTTGTAATCGAGCATACAATTCCATTTGATATATACCATTGTGTCGTTTATATATCAGGCCGTATTTTGTTCGCTCCTTGCTTCCCTAAAAATGCCAAATAAAACATATAGTCTTTCAGTGCTTTTGGTTGTGTGCAATAAAAACAACGGAGAAAATTGTTTGTTGACACATGATCAAATTTCTTGCAACATTTAACAGTGTCTACTTTCAAACCGCCCAAGAATTTGCGCTTGAATTTCGCTCTTCACGCCAAAGACCGGGTTCGATTCCCCAAACGGGCACAATGTGTGAAGCCCATTTCTTGTGTCCCCCGTCGTGATATTGCTGGAATATTGCTCAAAGCGGCGTAAAACTAGACTCACTCCAGGGCCGCTCGAACTCAGTTCTCGCACAGCGGTCACTTTTCAAACATTATACAAATGTGCGTCAGAATAAAAAAATCGGCATCCAGAGGGTTATCATTAAACATAGATCTGAGCAAACTGGGTTGTTATGATCTGCCTGGCTACTCGATTACGATCATGTTGGCCCTCGTATACGACAAGCGGATTTTCAAACTCAGACCTTCAAAAGAGTTTTGAATTCCAACCTCACGAAATCAAATTTAAATGTTCTAGAATCTCGACAACATGAAATGAATTTGACTACTTACATTACCAATTTCATGTTGCGTTTCTCATAGTTCATATGCGAAAGAAATCCCATCATATGACCGAATCTGTCTTGTATTTACAAATTATTTGTGACCGTTTTGAGTACAGATGCCTCGTCCATTTTGGCGTTGGGCGGGTTTAGTTGTTCTTAACTGGGTTTTGTCTCCCAAAACGAAAGCTCACGAACGCAAATATCCGCACGAAGCTTTGAAGAGGGCAAACGCTCTAGGGAGAGCCAACCAGTATAAGAGAACCCGGATGTCAATAAGGTTTCGCACATGCGCCGTTTGGTACCAGGAAATCAAAACAAGTCTGTCAAGGGTGTTTGGAGCAACGTAATTTAGATTAGGGTGTCATTCCTAATTGATCAGGTAAAACATTTATATTCATTTATACCGATTCGTTTGAGAGATAGACTGTCGTTTGTTTTCAGGCACTGTCATCATTTTAATGACGTCTGCTGCTCTATTACCACCGATTCAACACTTCGAAGTTTCATGTTGTGTCAATTAAAAATTCCTTATGTCTTTCAAATATTTTTTTATTTAGAAACAAAACATGCGTTGTATATCATCTTAGCAGATCCGTAGAGAGTGATATCATTTAGCCATAACCTGAGAGATAGCAATTTGTTGAGTTAATCGTCATTGGTGATGGTTCGTTTCAATGGCCACTGTGTCATATGATCATGACTATGAAATTAACCTGTTATCGTCATGATCATGCTAAGTGGACACAGGTCTTGGCACGAATACAGGATACCGTGCGTTGCTGACTGTAGCGCTATTATTAATATATTATTTCAACCCGCCGACTGGTTATTCTTGCTTCACATCTACACCGCGTGACTCTTCAACACACAGTGTATATTGCGTTGTGTTCGTTCAGGTTATGCCGAACTGTATCAGGTCCTGTGTATCATTAGCCATTAGATGCCCATTTGGATCAGTCTCCTCATTAAGATCATTAGGGTTAGGTATAACCCTTTCAGATCCATCACCCCTTTACAATCGGTAGGGTTAGACAAGTATCCATTTATTATCATGTTTGCAATTTATAGGTTTAGGTGTGAAGAAGGCTATTAGTAGAAGGCTCTTCGTGTTTCAGAAAATAAAACATACGCAGGAAACTTTTTACATTTTTTCAAATTTTTAGTCTTTGAAAACTCAATGACATATGTTAATGCCTGACGATAATGACAGCACATCTGCATACCTATTACTGATAGTGATACAGACATGTGTATGTACGGATATGTAAGCTCAAATGTTTTATGAAAGATGTTTGCTTAGCAAAACTTGTAGTCAAATAATTTTTCTGTGTACGTCTCATTATCTAGTATTTTCCATGTGAAATCTGTTAGTTTTTTTCAGTCGCGATACAGACGGTGGTAGTTTGATAACAGGTGCATGTATGGCCTTGGCATACTTGCTGACTGTAAAGGCATGAATAGCATCATTTTCACAAAAACGCTACAGAAAGTTTATCCAAAACAACACAGTATGTAAATATAGTTACAATATAGTGGTTCATGTGTTTTTTTTGTTTGTGAAATTGATTTATATCCCTGGATTTATATCTGTTTTCAGACTGTCATCTAGCACACAGCTTCTATACAACATTATGAATTTGGATCTGACATTACCGTATACTGCATCTTAAATACAGTTTCATTTCAACACATAGTTCATTTGAGTAAATTTCTTCAGGGTTTTAGGTGGCACAGAAATGAACATCAACTAATCGCAAACATATAGAATTCAGGCATGGATAAATATATATTGCATCTCAAGTCAGTCATTAATGTTCATTGTTCAAAATTCTCGACAGGTCTTGCATTAAAGAAATTATTAAATATTGCAGGGCAGTAAGTTTGGATTTTATTTTCCATTAAATAGATCATGTGGTATTATTGTAATAATTTCAGTTGTGCAGCCAGGGCAAGCTAAAAATATTCAATTTAATATTTTGTGCCATGGCTCGCAAATCAAGCTCTATTTGAAGCCGTGCACTGTGTAATACATCACTATTAATGGTGGACAAGTTGATCTTGCAGAAAAGAAATATATTTATTAATAAAAATTTCAGTTAAAAAGCAACAATGTATCATAAAATTCTTCCAAACATTAGTAATGTGGATTTTTCTGGAGATAGTGAAGTTGGTTATGAAAATCCCCCTTATTCTGTGGATAAGGAATCACATATTTATATATTTTCCCCCTCGATCATTGGATGTCAGCCTCAAATGGCACAATGTATTATCAATCTCAACTCCCTGGGGACCATACAACTCTTGCAGCCACTAGGCGCACCGAGTTAATGTGGCTTTCCCATCCTTACGAGGTACCCATTTCACAGCTGGGTGGCCTGGGACACGTAGTCACAGTTTTAAACATGGTGTTGGCAATATTTTGATGGTGCAACCTGATCAATTCATTTGGTTAAACCTGGTGCATTCTGTTAAAGAAATGAAATCATACCTACCACACCTCTGCCCTCCACTAAATCTGAACAGAAACAATGCAATACAGTCACAGCAGGTTTTACGATGAATAGCAATTTACATAACTATAGTCGATCAAACATATTCCTGTCATGGTGTTTATGAGTGTTTCTGTGAGTTCCCCATGGCCATTGTGTTGATGGAGTGAGTGAATGAGTTTAGTTTTATGCTGCACTCAGTAGTGGTGGTCCGATTAATTGAAATAATCGAAGATTGGTCGTAGTGACTCATGTCGCATGTTTTCTCATAATCGAACACAAACAATTCTAGTACACTTGTTTGCATTAACACTATTTTTCACTAGGTTGGTTTTGTCTGTTGCATTTCATAAGCACTACAAGCTCGTTCCAAGTCATGATTGAATTTATCTTAAGACTCTAAGAAATTTATGTTCCTCCATACTAGTCATCCTTTAAATATGTGAAATTTTGCCAAAAAAATCCCCAAAGAGCTACATGTTTTTTCCTTATTTTTTGTGTGCATTAACACATTTCATAAATGATGCTAACCAATTATGATCATCAGTATGAACCATCGATCTAGCACAGCCCTGTTGGGATATGATGGCTGTGTCAACCAAGTCAGCAGTGAGCCTGACGATCACACAGTTGGGATATGATCCTGTTAGTCAGCCCGATCTTACGACAAGCATGGATTGCTGAAGATCAATTCAAACCCGGATCTTCACAGGTTGTGGTGTTGGAGGTAGAACGGTTCAAAATTCCTGATTTCAAAAAGTATTTTTCTTTCCACAGAAAGAAGTCATGGAGGGTTCTGAGATAGCAAAAGCTGGTTGGCTTCACAGACAAAGTAAGTGTTTTGCTTTAGATCATGTTTGTTTGTTTCTACGCTCAACAGTGTGCTAGTTTTATGACAGGCACCTCTAAATGATCAAGTCTGTACTACAGGGACGGTTGTCTCCCATGTAGTTACACAGTGTGAAATTGCCAATTGTTAGACAGGGAGCTAGAGAACAGGATCCAGAGATTTAAAGGCCAACTCCGGCAGAGAGCCAAATCACCGATAGAATTACTTGATGCCATCGGACACTTGATTAAGCTAGGCTAAACCTCATTTTCGGATGTCTTATTCTATAGTGCTTTGTCTTATTCATATTTGTCCAGTGCATGTTATTTTGTCTTTTCCTTGGATTCAATATGGTTTGTCCATATTCTTTTAAATATTTTGATCAATCTTAGTCCAGTGCTTATAGTGCTTTGTTTTATTTGTCTGGGTCATTCCATTCTAAACTCTCAAGGTAAGGAGATAAGATGTGCAATCATCTCTAAAGTTGTTTGTATGAGGGAGTGTAACTAATGGCACATGTAACTAAAGGGAGGATACCACAGGGGCTTACTGCACAAAAATTAGCATCAAGCTATAGGCCATAGACTAAGGTTTAGTCTCTGAATATATATATATGTTACAGGGACTGTGTGAAACCAGGGATTTCACGTAATCCCTGAAAGATTCAGTTATTTCGTGAAATCACTCTGAACCCCAGGGATTTCATGTATTCCCTAAAGTTTCAAGGGATTTCATGAAATTACTGATTTTCATGGTGTTCCATTACACACATGCCCTGTTAGGATATCAGTGAATGTGTGAAGTTAATGTTTGTAGCTTAAAACTTTACTGTTGAGTCTCATTTCATCCCTTAGGTCTTAGGAGTTAAAAACTTTGACTATTTACTGATGACACTAAGTCAAGCTAAGAGAGGGAAATCACTGATAATATTCCAGTTGATGTTTTAAAAAATGACATCTGTATAGATTATCTTCATAAACTGTTTTCTACATGTTATGAGACTGGTCATGTACCCTCCTTCTGGCCCCAGGGGATCATTACCCCTACCCCTGAGTCTGGACCTGACAACCCGAGAGACCCAATGTCTTATCGCGGCATTACACTAGTGCATCTAATTGTTATGATTAATAGTTTGTCGTTGGCTGTTGATATAACGATACCAACGCTGTGTATCAATATTCCTTTTGTAGTTTCAAAAGTTACAGAGGTTGTTTTTAGCGATTTCGTTTATAAATGGAAACAGCACCTTTTACAAGTTGGTAGTTTAACTGGTAGGGGAGGTAATAAGTTACACACGTACTGTACTTTAAAGGTGGATTTTGGAAGTGATTTTTATGTTAATTGTAATGTCTCGCTCTATGAGAAAAGCACTAGATTTGTTTACATGTGCGGTAGCACCGCTTAGAATTGAAACTGTAAAGATTTTATTGAAGATGAGTGTCATGTTTTATTGCATTGTCCTTAGTATGCTGATGAGCGATTGCCACTTTTATCTAAATGTACAAGTCTTTTAGATGTTTTTTTTAAAATCTGGGTATGTTGAAAAAGTTAGTTTTCTTCTAGCTTGCCCATGTGTATCTGTCAAAACCTGCCTTAGTATTCTTAAAAAGCGTACTGCAAATTTGTATATATCTTCTTAATGTAACTTGTACCCTTATTATTGCATTTTTATGCCCCCGCCATAAATATGGCAGGGGCATATAGGATTACCCTCGGTGTCCGTCCGTACGAAACAGGGAATGTATTCTATCCACTTCTCCACCATAACCGCTCTGTGGAATTCAATGAACTTATACATGGGCTTTCTTGGGACTCTAATGGTGTGCATCTCATATTTTGTTGTTTTATTTTATTGGGTTTTTTTGTAAGTTTAGAGACATTTGAACTTAGGTACATTTTGCTGAATTTCTCTATGATGATAGTGTAATACGGGATGAAGTCTATCCACTTCCCCACAAAAAACTGCTCAACAGAACTGAATGAACTTCTACATGTCTTTTGTAGGGACTCTAAAGGTGTGCATTTCTTAATTTTTTTTGCAATTTCTTAATTTTGTCACTTTTACAGATGTTTGAACTTACTTGAATTTTGTTCTATTCAGCCAGTGTTCATTCCATCCAACAGGGGGGTGTATGTTATCCACTTCTCCTCAAAAACTACTTTATGGAATTCTTTTAGATTACACATGTGCTTTATAGGGACACTAAAGGCGTGCATCTCATATTTTGATTTTGTATTTTATTCATTTTTCCAATATTAATGCCATTTGAACTTAGATCAATTTTTTTGAATTTCTCTCTGAATATAGTGTTGTAGGGGGTGAAGTCTATCCACTTCTCCACAAAAGCTGCTCAAAAGAATAGATTGAGCTTCTACGTGTGTTTCATTGGAACTCTTAAGGTGTGCATCTCATACCTTGTTCATCCAATTTCTTAATTTTGTCACTTCTACAGATGTTTGAACTTAGTTGAATTTTGTTCTATTCAGCCAGTGTTTGTTCCATCCAACAGGGGGTGTACGTTATCCACTTCTCCTCAGAAACTACTTTATGGAATTCATTTAGATTACACATGTGCTTTATAGGAACTCTAAAGGTGTGCATCTCATATTTTGATTTTGTATTTTATTTATTTTTCCAATTTTAATGCCATTTAAACTTGCATAAATTTTGTTGAATTTCTCTCTGAATATAGTGTTATAGGGGATGAAGTCTATCAACTTCTCCACAAAAACTGCTCAACAGAATTGATTAAGCTTATACATGTGTTTCATTGAGACTCGAAAGGTGTGCATGTCATAGTTGCATAGATGTTTATTGAACTTGTTCATGAATTTTGTTCAATTATTGATCTTTATATGTCTTATGAATGTCAGCGAGGGCATCCGTGTCCCTGGACACAATTTTTTCTTGTTAATATTCATATATTATACTCTGTATATTGTGGCACAAATGTCTCTCATAATTCCGTACGGAATGGCTCAACATTTTACAGTGATATAGCATCATTACTTTTCTTTATTGAAAATAGACGTTTAGGTTTAAACAGACTAGGCCATTCATAGAAATAACTTGGAATACACATCATCCCGGTGTTGAAGAAGAGCTTTGGGATATGGGTTTGGGAAGGAAAAGGTATTTTTCAAAGCACATATTTCATGTATGTCCTCAGCGTCTTCTTTCTACAAATAATGTGACAATGGACTGTTTCTCCACACAGCTGTGATTTTCGAGTCGAATTGTGGTGGTCAGGGTTTCCAGAAATGTAACCGTTGTCCTAACCAGTGTAAATCGATACCTTGTAAATGTTTTAATGTGCTACTGAAGTGTAATAGCTTGTATGATAACAGGCTATCTTGTCCCAACAAATGAATTTTATCAGGATATACTCTGTACTCGCATTATAATTTGGTGTTCTCTATTTCAATAAGGGCTTACAGGGATTTCATGAAATCCCTGAGCTAATATTTCAGTAATTTCATGAAATCCTGGGAAATTTTGGGGATTTCATGAAATCACTGACTCTTTCAGGGGTTACGTGAAATCCCTGGTTTCACACATTCCCTGTAACATATACATATATATATATATATAGAGAGAGAGAGAGAGAGAGAGAGAGAGAGAGAGAGAGATTGAAAGAGAGAGAGAGAGAGAGAGAGAGAGAGAGAGAGAGAGAGAGAGAGAGAGAGAGAGAGAGAGAGAGAGAGAGAGAGAGAGATTATTCTTTTTTAAACTAAAAAGGAGCCCCAGTGAGATTGAGAACCTGGGGAATTGTAGACTTTGATTCATTTAACAATGTTTAATGGTTTAACATTGCAGAAAGGTCTAGGTGGAAGGAAAATAATGCAGGGACTGTGAGACCGACTATTTAGGCCTGTACTATGCTCTTGGGTGTCTAAGGGGGAGTGGTATAGCCTCGCGGTTGAAGTTTGATTATCCAGAGGCGGTTGAAGTGTTCACTCATCCTGCCAAAGGCCAGAGTTTGATTATCCAGATGGTTTCAATGTTTGAAGCCCATTATCATGATCATCGTCTGATAATGTACAAACGGCGCTTTGGATCTTCCAGTAAATCATCTTAGAATGTGCAGTACATTGTCAATAATCTTCATAAATTGGCATTGCAACTTGATATAAAAAATACTTTTGATTTTATTGCTTTGTCGAGTAAACTTGTATTTTACTGATAATCAGCAAAGAGGAAGTCACTTTTAAGCTTGGTATTATATTACTGCATTTAATGCTACATCAAAATACAATGTAATAATACTTCTGAAATAAAAACCTTGATTTATGATAAGAAAACAAGAGCCAGATATAAGCTGAAAGTAAGCACCTAATGGGGTTCAGGTGCCTGCTATGAAGGGATTCAGCTCTATTTGGTGTGTTCAACAGGTTCAATCCTTCATCGCTGGAAGAGGAACTGGTTCGTCCTCCGTACTAATGGAGATCTCTTGTACTTCGAGAGCCCTGATGAACCCCGGGCAGAAGAGAGAATTGTCGTAAGAACCCGAGTACAGAGGATTAAGCCTGGTTTTGAGGTAGGTTGATGGAAGAAGGCAGTCATACTTATGTGTCACCCCCAGAGATTTGAGTTAGATCTGGTCCTTAGCAACCCCTGCTGGTTGTCAAAAGCGATTGATCAGGTAATCAGGGTCCTTTACTTGGTTAAGTGGGCCTTCGCAATGAAGTTCTCATTATATCCATTACTGGGTCGTTTACGCCTCTTTGATCATTCACAGGAAGTAATCAAAGACTATATCAGACCAGGTAAGTAGAAATAGGGGGTGTTTTGCAGCTTCTGTGATTTATGCGGGGAACCCAACCTCTTGAGCTTGTTATAGATTGTTTGTTAGTTTTAACCCAATTGTGTGGGTCAATACAGATATCTGTCACAGGATTATCTGGTCCAGGTTCAAATATTTGCACACCATCGTCATATTGCTGAAGTGTTATCAGTGCAGTGTTAAAAAGGCACAGATAAATTGACAGAAAGGTTTGGGGTTTGGGCTCTCAGTTTGGGTTGGAGAAGAATAAGGCATGTACAGTCTAACACCATAGTGGCAAAGTTGGTAGGACCTCAGGGGTGGAAATAACTTTAAAATCGCTATTGTAATCCGGTACAGTGGCACATGTAATGTCATTTGCCCTGATAATTTTTCCACTATACTCACCGTTTTCTTGCTGATTTTTTAAATAAACAACATAATTAACATTGGAAAGTCAACTGGACACCGGAACAGTGTGATATACAAATTTGCTTGCTCGACAGAAAAAACACTAGACTTGGACGTCGGGCAATGGGTTATTTCCACCCCTGGACCTACGTAAACACTACAAGATATCTGATGTTCAACACAACTGCAAACTGATCACAAAGTGAGGAATTCCCAGGGATGAGACTGTTTGTTCAAGACAACTATAAGCTCCACACATCGAAGTTGTTTGACACAGCTATGTTTGACTGTGTTGTTTGACACAACTATGTTTGACTGTGTTTTTTGACACAGCTATGGTTGACTGTGTTGTTTGACACAGCTATGGTTGACTGTGTTGTTTTTCACAGCTATGGTTGACTGTGTTGTTTGACACAGCTATGTTTGACTGTGTTTTTTGCATCAATGTCTTTTCAGAATGTATTGTATTTGTTTGTTTCAGTGCAACAATGTGACTCCCCCAGAAGGAATGTCCAAGGGATGTCTGTTTGCTCTGGACATGAGGAATGAAGAGCTTAGACTGTGTGCTGAGAGTTCGGACGATATGAAGTATGTATCTTGTTTTACCTAACATCTGGTGTGGTGGGGTAGAGTAGTGATTAAAGTGTTTGCTAGTCACGCTGAAGACCTGGGCTCAATTCCCCACATGGGTACAATGTGTGAAACCCATTTCTGGTGTATAGCCTCATAGGTGTTAAGTTCAAATTGCATGTGGTCAGTGATTGAAATTGTGTATTGAATATTGTCATTAGCAGACGGGCAGGCAGACACATAGGTGTCAATAAAACAGACATTGAGTTTTGTCTGTGACAACGACATATCTATATCACAGTTAGAAATTCTGTCGACGCTAAATAATGACATTGCTTTTAAGTATCGAACTGAGAAAGTGACTCGGTAAGAAGAATGTGTGGTGAAATAGACAAATGCAATTATATAAACAGTTAAATCGGTAATCTACTGTAATAACATATAAAAGCTCTCATGCCTGTGTGAAATATATCAACAAAACATTAGAAAAATAGCTCACACCAAAGCTTTCACCGAATATTCACCGACAACCCGCTTCCAAGCTCCGCGAACCTATTTCACCGCTATGATGTGCTATGTATTACAGCCCAGCTGTTGAAACCACCTCAATTCCCCAAGCGCTTGGGGAAAGTTGGTGAATCGTTTGAACTACATTTTCGTGCGGGTTTTTTCATCTCGTTATTTTTCAACTTTATAAGTTGAATTTGCATATTTGATGATTTGTTTCGATAAGTCCATACTGAAAGGTATCAGAATCTGCAAAGTTGTGTTTTACGTTGCATGTGACCTTTAAACATTCAAACAGTTTAAATTAATACTTATTGATCAAATTGCAGTACAGACCATTTCTGTGTACATGAAACACTTTCTTGAAAAATATATTTTTCTATTCGGCAATAGTATTGTATTCTTTCAATAAAAAGATTTAATTGTAAAGAACTTTCTCTACACTTACAAATATAAATATATTCTTTTATTACCAGAAAGAGATGATTGATCAGAATACTCTTGTGGGGGTCTCCAAGAATAATCGCCCTGTTAGCAATATTGATATTTTCATTTGTACTAGAATTATACCAGGTAGTGAAGCTAGTCAAGAGTGCACTCACTCTATCACACAAACAGAAAATATGTTCTATCGTTTCACGTTCAGCCTTGCAAAAGCTGCAAAAATCATTATCTATGTGACCAATTCTAAATAGGAAAGAGTTGGTTGTTAGAATTCTGTGTAAAATGTTTTATTGGAAATTTTGTACCGGTAGCTTGTTTTCTGCAGTACATAATTGATTATTTTTATAACAGCAGGAAAGATAATCTTCAGTTACAGGCATATTCAGTTTTATTTCCCATTTATTATTAAGTTCAGAGAGATTATTTTGTACATCTTCACATATTTGGCAGTAAATGAACTTAGCATCTTTACTGGATTAAGTTAAGTTATTGATTAAATTTTGAGAATCCACTATTTGTGTTCATTACTTGTGTTCATTACTGAGATAGGTTCGCATCTTGTCGATCCAGATTCTAGGAATATATTTTAAAAGTCTGTGGTACAGCAAGAATGTACCACTTAAGTCAAACTTGGCTTTAAGAGTTTTAAAATCTGTTAATTCACCTATATCTGTAAACAAACATCTCATTGCTTTTACACCACGTTTTAACCAATTTGAAAACACTTTAATGTCTTTGTGTGGAATGAAATTAATTATTGGAAGTTGTAAATATGTTTTTTCGTGGAGGATTTCCTTAATTTTAAATGTACTCAAATGTCTTATAACATCTTTCCAGAAATTATTCTTCATGAGTTTACTAATTCTATTCAGCGGTTCTTTTTGTAAGTAACATATGTTAACATTTTCAAAGGGATATAAATCACAGTGGGCAAGGTGTCCCCATAAACCCTTTGAGGAAAGTAGTTGTTTAACCCATTGTATTTTTATGTATTTACAAAATGATAAGATATCTACCATTTTCAATCCACCTTTCTCATAGTCGTGAATCAACATACAGTCAAATCCCGTTGAGTCGAATGCCGGTGTCTCGAATATTATGCATAAATCGAAGTACCTGTCGGTCCCGACCATTCCCTTTTATAGTTGTCATTATTCGAATACCGGTTACACAAATTCGTCTCATAAATACACACGATGACTCGAGAAGGAAATTTGGTCCCATGAGATTCAAACAACAGCAATCTTGTATACATAAGCCAAAGTCAGTCAATGAGAAGTTGATTAATATTGGTGTAGCAAACTGATCCAATTAACAAACCAGCGTGGCTCACACCTTTCCGCCATTGATGGGTGAGTTCAAAAGGCAGATTAGTGATTTTACGGAAATCACTGTCTGTGCTAATCAGACTGGAACTGATAAGGTGCCCCTATTAGTGATATGGAAATCATTAGATAAACAAATGCTTAGGCTGAGGAATTAAGACTGGATCATCTTTTTTTCTACCCTCATAGACGTACCTATGTCTCGAATACATCGATAAGTCGAATTTATTACTTGGTCCCCAGCGATTCGACTCATCAGGATTTGGCTAAATTTACTAATTCTATTCTTTTTGTAAGTATCATATGTTAACATTTTCAAAGGGATATAAATCACAGTGGGCAAGGTGTTCCCATAAACCCTTTGAGGAAAGTAGTTGTTTAACCCATTGTATTTTTATGTATTTACAAAATGATAAAATATCCACCATTTTCAATCCACCTTTCTCATAGTCGTGAATCAACATAGTTCTTTTTATTCTATCTCTGTTACCATACCATATAAAACAATACAACAAGGAGTTCACCCATTTAAAAAATTCAGGAGATGGATCAGGTAGAGATGTGAAAAGGTTGGTAAATAAGGGTAAAATCTGAGATTTTATTATAACAATTTTTCCTCACAGAGTTTACCTTCTATTTGACCATGTGAATAGCATTTTTCATGCTTTTGCAGGGGTGGAAATAACTTTAAAATTGCTAGTGTACTCCAGATAAGTGGCACATGTAAAATCACTTGCCCTGATAATTTTTCCACTATATCGGCTGATTTTCCTGTTCATTTTTTAAATAAGCAACATAATTAACATTGGAAAGTCAAATGGACACCGGTACAGCGTGATATACAAATTTGCTTGCCCGACAGAAAAAAGCACTGGACTAGGACGTCGGGCAATGGGTTATTTCCACCCCTGTTTTGTAAATTGCTTATCAAAATTAAATCTACCATTTGTCCTTTAATCAGCCATTTTTATACATTTTATATACAAAATGTAATTAATTTGGTGTTTGTATAGTTTTGGATTCAACACGTTTAAATACGTAACCTACAGCAAGTTCTGTTAACTGTTTGTCTTTCATGACCTTTCATGACCTTTTCGACTCCATATCCACCTGAGCCACAAAGGCGCCATGTTTGGTGACTAACTAGGAAGCAGATTTTGGAAATCAATAACTCAGTTGGTATGAAGTTGTCTTGTGGTCCGACTTGGCTGCGTGTAGGACCACATCACGACTCTCATCTACCAGTACTTGTGCTTCTAGGTGGGTTTGTTTGTGTACGGAATACCATTTGATGCTACTTGTAAGGGTCAAGTTAGGGCCTCGGCTTATCTATGAAATCAGCTTATCTATGGTAATATACAGCGGTAATCTTAGATATACCATTGTGCACCATAGTTACATAACAGCAGGTCTTTTGAAAATTTTCACTTACACAAGGCATTTGGGAATATTTTTTTTTGAGGTGAGGTGAAATTGGATTTAACGTCGTGCTGGAGAATATTTCGCTCATATGACGACGTTCATGCGCGTGTGTGTGTATGTGCGGCTGCTTGTACTAGCCCAGACTTAAGCTGGTTTTATAGTGCTAGCCCACTGAGATACCATGCTGCAGTGAAGCATGGATACCCCATTCAGACACATTATACTGACTCCGAGCCGACCAGTCCTTGTTGTACCCATTAATACCGAGTGCCAGGCAGGAACCAACAAGTACCATATTTTAACGTCTTGGTATGACGCGGTCGGGGATCGAACCCGCGACCTTCCGCTCTCCGGGCGGATGCTCTAACCACTACACCCGAAGGCGGTCAATTTTGTTGTGGCCAGTGAACTTTCTGCTGTATAATTAACTGACCCATTATTGAATTTAATTCCAAATGAATTTGTTTAATTAACACATACATACGGAGCGGGCTATTTTCTTCACTATGTATCATTTCTTTGTCGCACACGCAATAAACATCCATTGTTTTCATGTAATCACATGAAGAACAGTAAAACACCTCATTCATTTATGCTGATATAGTTCTTGATTTGTAAACATGTTTTCAGAAACAGTTTGAACTAGTATATCAAAAGAAAAGGAGGAATGAGAATCATATTCTCGAGAGATGTGATGAAAAAAATCCTGTTACTGGATTTGTATGAAAAAGAGTATTTCTTCTGTAAATAACTTTTATCATGATTTAATTTTTCTGTGTGAAATAATAATATGTACTGTTATTCATAAAATTCCCAGCAAGATAAGTGTATTTTAACACCCCTAGAACTAGTTCTGGGCGATAACCAGCACTACCTATAAACCAGTCTCAAGAATTGTTCTGTCAGTTGAGTCCCAGAGTTTACTGTTACACTTCCTTCTCCAACAGGGCGTGGCAGATTGCCCTGGAGGAAGCCCGTGTGATGGGACAGAGAAGCCCCCCACCCCCCTACCCCGCGATGGCCACCAACTCCAGCTATGCTTACCCTGGTCAAGTATTGTACACTGGGGTACCTGGCCAGACCAGACATGTCATGTACAACGGAGCCCTCGGCCAGACCGTCTACCAGCCCGGCACCGTCATCCAGGGACCTAATGGAACCACTACCACAGGTTAGTGAGACTAAATACCCGTGAAGATCAAGGTTAGAATTGACTTTCAGTAACCCATGCTTGTCGTAAGAGGCGACTAACGGGATCGGATGGTCAGGCTCGCTGACTTGGTTCACAAATGTCATTGTATCCCAATTGTGTAGATCGATGCTCATGCTGTCAGTCACTGGATTGTCTGGTCCAGACTCGTTTATTTACAGACTGCTGCCATATACCTGGAATATTGCTGAGTGCGGCCTAAAACTTAAAGGTCACATGCAACCAAAAAAACCAAACATAATTAAAACATAATTATAATAATAATAAAAATAATAATGTGGGTATTTATACAGCGCTATATCCAGGTACTAATACCCGCTCATGGCGCTACAATACTATAGGAGACAAAATAATAGTTAAAACTATTTACAGAGAGACAATTGAACATAGAAAGTCTAGTAATAGGCAAGACGAAAAAAGTGGGTTTTTAGAGACGATTTAAATGTGTCCAAACATTCAGCATTCTTGATGTGAGTGGGAAAGTTTTTCCAGAGACTGGCGGCTGCGTGTTGGAATGATCTTTTCCCATTGGATGAGAGTTGAACTTTATCACTTTTTCATGACATATAATATACATTGCTGACCATGAAAAAACAAATAAACAAAAAAAAACAATATTTTGTAAACAAAATTATAAGACGTACAATTTGCAAATCAAAAGTGCAATATTTTTTGTACTTGGGTTTACTTCCTCAGAGAAACGAAGCACGTTTGTTTATGGTGTATAGCCTGATGTGGGTGGATATGTGGTCCAGTTGTGTATTGAATATTGTCATTAGCAGACAGGCAGGTGGGCATGCACTCAAGGGTAACGGAGACTTACATTGGTTGGTTTATTTGCCCGATACACATTAAATCTCCGCTTGCGAACCTATTCACGTTGTAAAGTGCACAGCTGCTGCTCTGGGGAATTTAGTGAATGCTTAACATTTTCCCATTGTTATAATAATGTAAAATCAAAGACCACAAAATAATAAAAAACATATGCTTGATTATGCATACTCATGATGCTGATTTCATGTATAATTTACTTACTTACTAGCTTTTACGACAGGACTATGGGCGACGTGTTACTTTGCGCTTTCGTCTGAACCTTGGGTTCAGCATTTACGAGATTGTTTGCACATAATCAGCCATTGGCTGTTAGTAAATTATGGAAAACCAATGAAATGAACACTTTCAATCACCGCAATCCATTGAATAAGAGACAGTTATAAGGAAGAATTTTGATTGATATTGATGGACTTTAACAATTCCTTTCAAAATTATTTACTGGCAATTGTGTAATGTTGATAATTGCTTTCAAAATTACGTTTTGAATTGTTTAAAGTGATAAATTATGACTAAGTACTCTGAAAGAGATCATATGAAACAAAAAGATCAACACGTTCGTTACATTTCAAGATGTTTAATTAACAGTATCAAGATTCAAGAAGTTCACTCAGGTATCTGAACATCAGAGGATATTGACAAACAAATGAATCACTTATCTCATGTTAACCACATTAACACAAGGTAAACTAACGCAACTGAGTTGCGCAACAGATTTATGATAATTTCGTTAGCATTGGGTGGTAAGACTGGTCATGTTGCTTTGTTGCGCCAAGACAGTTGCGTTAGTTTGCCTGTGTGTTCAGTTGTTAATAAACAAACCAAACATAAGAAATGCCTAAGTCCTTAGGCGGTGTAGTGCTGTGAACATTAGTAATCATTACAATCTCAGAGTGAGTTTAGTTTTTACCCCGCACTCAGTACAATCTCAGACACACTTTAACTGATCGAATGCAACTTTCCATATTTTCTCAAATATATCAACCTAAGTAGTTAACATTAACTTTTAACAGATAAACAAATAAATCATTCACGTCTCTAACGTTTTCACAAATGTCAAGGAAATTGAAAGAACGTAAGAAATGCCAATTAAACTCGAGAGTAGAGCCTTGTAATCTCGTTCACTGACAAAATTTGACAGCCTGTGTAACTGGTAGATTGTCAGTCATATCATTGAAGTGTAGCATCTTCTAACTTGCTGTATCAACAATGTCACTATAAACTTTGAAACTTTTAAACTCGAAAGTCAATAAGCAAATAGCTTCTGAATTTGAAGACTTCAACACATATGTGGGAGATCGGAAGTGGCGGTTGAGTGATGTTAGTTACACCAGACTCACTCGACACTGTCTGAGGAATGGGATTAACCGGCTCCACCTTTATAGTGACTGCTGGCACTGGTGGACAAGACGACGTTGACGCGTGGACGAGGTTTGTAGAGTATTTCTCAGGTTTTTATTCAGAAAGATGATTGCATCTGCTGTGCTTGAATCAAGTGATGCCCGCTGTTTGGTGATCGTGAGACCGGCGGTAGAGAAAGCTCTCTCAGATGGTACACTTGTACCGGGTATGCAAAGATGTTCTTGAGCCAATGTTGCAATTCGTGGAAATAAGTTGGCATTTTCCCGCCACCAGCCAAGAGTTAACGATTTTAGTGTTGACAACCCAGGCAGCATGTTAGGGGCACACAGATAATCATGATACTCAGCTCTGGCATCTTTGTGAAGGTTCTCGTCATCATCGATTTCGGTTATGTCATCCAAGAGGAATGACAGCATTGTCATTCTCACAAAATTTGAACTTTTTGCTTGGCTGTTTGGGTGTTGTTGCTGGCGAATCTGGGCCTTCTTCTGGTTCCTCCTTCACATGAAAAGCAGGAGTTTCTTCTGTTGGATGACGTGTGTTGTTGCGTTTCATCAACTCGATAATATGGTTTTCGATGTCACTTTTTTTATCATCTGTCAGGAACTGCAGATTTTTGTAACAAGGGTCCAGGGCCGTTGCAATCATTTGAGGTCTCTTCCAAAACTCGTCTTTGAGAAGACGCCCTTCCAGCCCCTATGCGATGGTTGTCTTCATGTCTGCAATGATATTCGTGTCCAAGTCTGACACTTTCAGGTGCTTGTTGACTAGCGCAAACAGAAGAGGGTACACACCTGAAGATGTTGGAAACGCTTCGCTGCAAAGGACTTCTGTGGCGGATACTAGTGGCTTCAGTGCCACCACAAGGTATTCCAGCAAACTCCAGTGTGTATCTCAATCCCTTGTGTTTCTTCAGCAGCGGGTCATGGAGCACAGCCACGATGTCTGTGTGGAGTTCGGCCAGACGTTCCAACATGAAATAGGCAGAATTCCAACGAGTCACCACGTCGGTAATGACATTTTTGGGGGCTTTACCAAGCTTTGATTGATGTTCTCTGAGTTGTTGAGTTGCCAGAGTTGACTTTGAGAAAAACGCTACCAGCTTACGTGCAAACATCAGCACATGCTCAAGAGAAGGAAGTTTCAAACCATCATGGACTGCTAGTTGAAGAGTGTGGGCGAAACATCTCACAGGAGGATAACCTGCTGTCTTTGCCGCCAGAGACATGTTGCTCGCATTGTCAGTAGTTAGGCCGACCACTTTAGCAATTCCAAATTCCTCCTGCACAGAATTTAAAATCTGTCCAATATTCTCACCCGTATGGCGTTCCTCCACACTCCGTGTGGCGAGCACACACGACTCAAGTACCCAACTGCTAAGAAAGTGAGCCGTAACCGTAATATAGCCCTCTGTTGCTATGCTTGTCCACATGTCTGTGGTAAGGGCAACATATGGAATAGCTAGAAGTTTGTTTTTTAGCTTTGACTTAGCTTCATTAAAAGTCTTATGCAAGTAATTGTGGAGAGTGGTTGAGCATGGGACTTTATAGTTAGGGTTTAACTCGGCACAGAATGCACGAAAACCGTCACCGTTCACAATGTTTAGTGGTCGAAGGTCGTGAACGCACATGAGCATTGCTTTCTGTGTGACGAGCATGCTTTCTATCTACAGGTTTTGTCATTCCCAAATTACCAAATGACCCAAGGGTGGCCTGCTTTCGCTTTGGCTGGTCAGAATTAGTATTTGGGTGTTTACATGACAACTGGACCACCTCCGTGGTGTAGTGGTTAGAGCGTCCGCCCGGAGAGCGGAAGGTCGCGGGTTCGATCCCCGACCGCGTCATACCAAAAGACGTTAAAATATGGTACTTGTTGGTCTCTACCTGGCTCGGCATTAATGGGTACAACAAGGACTGGTCGGCTCGGAGTCAGTATAATGTGTCTGAGTGGGGTATTCATGCTTCACTGCGGCATGGTATCTCAGTGGGCTAGCACTATAAAACCAGCTTAAGTCTGAGCTAGTACAAGCAGCCGCACATACACATACACACGCATGCACGTCGTCATATGAGCGAAATATTCTCAAGCACAAAGTTAACCCAATTTCACCTCACCTCACCTCACATGACAACTGCTTTTTCATGGTACTGGTTGTGCTACCCTGCATAACTCAGTGATGTACCGCACAGACGACATTTGTTTTTTTCTTTTCATTATCCAAATCGAAATACGCCCATACATTTAATTTTTTATCCTTCTCCTTCTCTGTCAATTGGCAATAATATAGTTACCTAATCACTTTAAGAAGTGAAGTCTCAATTTCTCAAACGATGTCTTATATCAGATGTTAACAGCCGCTTTGCACAAGGCAGACAGACAGTCTGACAACGTAACCCGATTAGAGTTATCTCCCCTTATTGAGTCCTCGAGTCCAGGTAAACCTGACCCGTACTCGAGTACCCGTTGAAGCCCTACTCTAAGTCCATACCTAAAGGTATCAGAATCTGCAAAGTTGTGTTTTACGTTGCATGTGACCTTTAACTCACTCACTCACTAGTGAGACTGAAATCAGTATCAAACTGGTGTGTTGAGGACATAAGCCAAACCAAAAACCTTCGTTCATGTTCTGATCATGATCAGTCTTTAGAAATATAGTGTCAACAATTCAATATTGAATTACGCATATCTCGTAATATGTAAATAATTTTGTCTAGTGGTGTTTAATTGCAAATATAGTGAATAATGACTACTTAACGTTGCAGTTGTGACCAGCCCAGGTATAAGCATACAGTGAATAAGGACAACTTTCATTTCAGTTGTGACTAACCCTGGGCCCAACGTGGTATACATGGACGACTACGACTACTGTAACCGCTACCGCTGTAATCGCTACCACCGTCACGGCTATGATGGAACTGACGTGGCGATGGGTGTTGTTGCTGGTGCTGCCCTCGGGTCCATGATGTACGGACCGATGTTTTGGTGGTGAAGGTGATGGTCAGTCTGATGTTCCGATACCGAAGTTGATGTTCAGTCGAGTGTTCTGGTCACGGATACACTACAGAGATGAACACTTATACTGTGTACAAATAAAACTCATTAATATGTGCCATACAACAAAATAATTTTCATTGTCAAATTGAAGTTTAATTTATACATATGAAAGAGTTATGCCCCTTTCTACACATACTCATGAAAACACAACAGCACCCCGATTTCCATATGAAATACTTGTAGTCATTTCTTAAATGTCTTATCCCATGTTAATTGTATGATTGAAAAATTTAGTGGAATGAAAAAAAAATATGCCTTGCAAAAGATATGTGCCTAATCACAGGCTTATGGTTGCTTAAATTAGCTGAAAAATGAAGATGTGTTTACTATTCACATGTGAATAGTTTGCCTTGTATCATGATGTATGATAGACAAACACCTTATATTCAAATTGTTGTGTGTTTTTTTCAAATTCCAGCTTAATGTTTAACATTTATTAATCATTTGGGTCACAGGTCTTTTTTTCTATATAAAAGCATAACATGGCTGACTGATGTAAAAATTATTCTTCATTTCTTTTTTCATTTCTTTAAGTGGCCTTTACTGAGTCAGAGAACCATTAAAATTTTATTTATAAAAACATTTTTAGGCTTTGATGAAATGATATTTATTTATTTTACAACACACACACACACACACACACACACACACACACACACACATGCTGAGTTTTGTAGTTAGCGAAAGAAGTACCGGTACACAGATGTTCGGGAACAAAATTGCTTGTTTTTTACTTCACAGTTTGTAATATGTATTCTCATATATGTTTTTGTTTTCAAATGATTGTATGTTTTCTCCTCTTTGTTTGGACTGTTGATTTTGGCAACACATAAAGAACAACATCAGAGCCCCCTCGCTGAATATGATCTATTTGGGGGGATTAATGATTTTACTGTTATTTTGAAAAGTTATTCATGGATGTTTTTAGTAGTGTATTTTTCTGTCAGAAACCAATACACTTTCCAATAGATTGTTCACTGATTAATGGTGATGGAAATGTTGGTATTTTGGGTTGGTTTTCTTTTTACACATATGTGTAATATATTGTGTTCTTTCTGTCATTTTTGTCAAATGTTATTCAAGTTGGAGAGATTTTTAATCTGGGTAGCATTGGGGTAGCCTTGTAGTTAAAGCGTTCGCTGGTCGCACCAAAGACCCGGGTTCAATTCCCCACATGGTGGTGAATCTTTTCTGTGTTGCAAACCCAATATCCCAGCGTGATATTGCTGGAATATTGCTAAAAGCGTCGTAAAACCATACACGCTCACTCTTAAATCTTGTCTTGACTTCAAGTACTTGGAATGTGCAATTTTATAAATTTGTCTTCATAATGAATGCATTTATTAATTGAAACACCTTGTTGTATTATGTAGTATTTCGGTCTCAGTGTAATCAGATTCTAACAACAGCTTGATAGCGCACCCCTTATAGATATGATTCTCCTTGACAAAAGGTTGCTAAGGCGCCATAGTTCATTGTGCAGATTTCCCTCCCTTGTGAATGCTGAATCACGTGATTGTTGGTTCAATGTTTTCGAGATCGTATTGCTGATTAGTAAGCACCCCAACCATTAGTCAGGAGGTTTGGTTAGGCATGGCTAGAAAAGGGTACCAAATTGTGGTAAAAGAATATGATTTGAATACTAATGACATACGAGTCTAGTCAAGATTTAACCTCTCTTCAGGTACTACTGAATTATCTGCATAGCACCAGTTTGTTACATATTCAAGTTTTTATCTTACAGACTTTAAAAATAATTCTGTGCCTTGTCAAGAAATTCACTATATATTGTCATTTCAACTGACGTTTTATGATGTCCATTTACAAAATGAGTCATTGATGAAATCGGCTAAGTTATAGTATATGTCTTAGTGTATATACTAGTATAGATATTGATGGATCGATAATGCCCATAGCTCCTCTTTAAGCATAGTATTTTGTGTCCCTTAGGATGCTGTGTTTTGTTTTTCTGCTTCCATTCTCTACATTTGTGCATACTGGATGCATGTTTGGGGCCACAATACATCTTGGTGATACCAGCATCGAGTAGAAACTTTCTATCTCTTTTACTAAGTATCTTCAACAAAATCCTAACCATGGTGTCAGTTCATTCCTCGGGAGCTGAAATATAACTACGGGCGGTGGGGTAGCCTAGTGGTTAAAGCGTTGGCTCGTCACGCCGAAGGCCCGGGTTCGATTCCCCACATGGGCACAATGTGTTAAGCCCATTTCTGGTGTCCCTAGCCGTGATATTGCTGGAATATTGCTAAAAGCGGCGTAAAACTAAACTCAGTCAGTCAGAAATATAACTACAACTCTCTAAATGCCCTCCGACCTAACAAAATGTGCGAGATTGTTGCATTATTGCCTTGAAATTTAAATGAATTGTTTGCCCTTATTAGAAGAAAGAAGGTCCAAATGTATGTTTAATGATTACATGTTCATTTCTGTGTGGAAATAATGGTAATTATTGGGTTCAGGATTAATCTTGACAAATGAAATTCCTCTTCCAGGCTTGTATATACATTTTCTACATGGTCCATTATGAGGTAGAAATACTGTTCCATAGCATGACCTTGAATAAGTAATAACCTTATTTTTGTGTAAAGCGTGACTATTCACTATTACTTCTATTAAGTTAGCCATTACAGTTATTTGATGTACTTAGATATTCTGTGATGATAAATCATTTCTGTCTCTGTGAATAACTGAACGTTAATAAAATGTGATATTTAATGTTTATATTGTTGATTGTTTTAAATCAAAACGTCTTTTGTTGTTGATGGTCCTGTGTGTGTTTACTTGTAGAATTGTCTCCCCTTGGCCCAGTAATACATCTCTGTTTGTATTGATTGTTAGGGAGCGTTGGAATCTAGTACAAAGGAGGAAGCTGTCTGTATATAATCGAGTCTGGACCAGACAAAAGACTGATCAATAGCATGAGCATCGATCTAAGTGATTGGGACATGCTGACATGTGTCAACCAAGTCATGAGCCTGACCACCAAACTTAATAAGTCTGAGTTTTGATTTAGGTTAGAGTTTTTACTCCAATTTGAGAAAATGCATTTCCCAGAATGAACTGAAATTGATATTAAACTCAAACACAGCAGACAACTTAAGTTTGGTGGGTAGATTACTTAAATTGTTTCGGTTTTTTTATTTTAAAAATGCAGTTGAGTTGAAATTCAGCTGTTTCAAGTTGTCAAACTCAGTTTGAAATTTGAGTAAAACCTTAAGTTTGTTTCGAGAAATTGGGGCCTGATCCCGCTAGTTTCCTTTTAGGACAGGCAGGGCTGATGACCAAATCTAAACAAAGCAGGAATGGGCATGTTTAGTTGTTAGAACTGATGCATTGTTTTCTGCTGTTTTTCTTAATTAACATTGTATATGGCAATATTTGATGTGTCACTTATACCAAATTCTTTTATCACAAAATATCTGTATGTTTGGCAATGTTTAGCTATACAACGGCGGACAGTATATATCAAATGCGGACAATAAAGTAACTGACAACATGAGCATCGATCTATGCAACGATGACATCCATCTACCAAGTCCGTGAGCTTGACCACCCGATCCCGTTCGTCGCCTCTTGCTACAACCATTGCTGAAGACCGATGTTCATGTTATTTCATATGTTTTAAATCCACAAAACTCTTCCCCATATTCAAAAGACATCAGCTGAAAGCCGTGGAGGATTGTGACTAAAACACTGGCGTGTGGACGCATGTCAGAGATGATAGCAGGTGTTGACAAGACAGAGATCATATCTTGCCTCACCAGTGACACTGTACACAAACACATGCAAAAAGAAATCCATTGTTACTTAAAACAACATGGAACAAGCCAAAATTGGGACTTGCATCCGACAGTATTTCTGTCCAAAAGTCATACAATTTTGAAATGTCGATCCTAAAACGTTTTGAGAGCTTTGGGCGGTTGGTGGGGTAGCCTAGTGGTCAAAGCGTTCGCTCGTCACGCCGAAGACCCGGGTTCGATTCCCCACATGGGTACAATGTATGAAGCCAATTTCTGGTGTCCCCCGCTGTGATATTGCTGGAATATTGCTAAAAGCGACGTAAAACCATATTCACTCGCCCAGTTACTTTGAAAGTTTTACTGGGGAATTAAATGTTGTAACTATGATGAGACTTTGCAAGAATGTTGTGACACTTTTTGAAATCCTTACGAAAGTGTCTCAACATTTTTTAAATGTACACCCAAGACTAGTGCTGATAGAATTTGCTCAACAAAATTTGTTGATTACCCTGTTGTTAAGCGATGTTGTGTATAATTTCTTTTGTCGCTCTTGACTTGCATGCACTAAATATGCAAAAGGCGGTCTCATGGGTCCACATTATTTCTACTTCTAAGATGATTCGCTAAAAGATCAAAGGTGTATCAGATCACACTGTATTGACGTCACTACGCCATTCTAGACTGCCCCCTCGTAATTAAACGTTCCCTTGGTAACCGACGTCACGATACAGGTCAGTTGTCATTGCCTAGTACAGTTTCCTACAGTACAACTAACTCCGTTTCACCTTGTTTCTTGGTTTGTAGTTGCTTCAGTCGGCTAACATCACTGGTGGAAATATTACGTTAAAACTTCCTCAACCGAAACAAATCGACTCACAATTAACATCGACACGGTGCCCAATGTTCGCTAACTATGATTATATCCATACTCCCACAACCGTCCGTGGTCTCATGCAGCTCCGGTACCTAAATAGTGACCCGTGAAGATCAGGGTTAGATTTGGTCTTCATTAGTGTTGGGAATTGGTTAAAATCTCATAATTGATGATTGGTTCATTACAACCGATCAATCATCGAAAATAATTGGTTATCGTCATTTATGAAATGTTCCTGGTTATTTTTGTTAATACTCAAATAAGGAAAAACAACATGTAGTTCTTTAGTTTTTTTGTGCAAAATTTCATATCTTTAAAGGATGACAAGTATGTAAGGAACATAATTTTTTAAAGATATATTCTTAAACAAAAGAGTCTTTAAGATATATTCAATCATGACTTGGAACGAGCTTGTAGTGCTTATGAAATGTAACGGATAAAACCAACCTTGTGAAATATATTGTTTATGAAAACAAGTGTTCCAGAATTGTTTGTGTTCGATTATGAGAAAACATGATCGATTGCTTGGTCGTATAGTCACTGCGACCAATCTTCGATTATTTCAATTAATCGGACCACCGGTAGTCTTCATCCCCATCCTCGTAAGAGGCGACTAAGGGGATCGGATGGTCATGCTCCCTGAGTTGCTTGATGTACGTCATCATAAGCTAAATGCGCAGATCGATGCTCATGATGTCAATCACTGGATCCAGACTTACACAATGTATGTACAGACCGCCGTGGTAGTTTAGCGTGAATACGGCTGAGTGCGGCGTGAAATTAATGTAAAAGGTTTATAGTTGCTCCCACTGACGAAACATCAAATATCATTATCATTGTACGTTGACACTCCATTAAACGTTTTGGGGCGGTTGGATAGCCTAGTGGTTAAGGCGTCCGCTCGTCACGATGAAGACTAGGGTTCGATTCCCCACATGGGTACAATGTGTGAAGCCAATTTCTGGTGTCCCCCGTCGTGATATTGGTGTGACATATTTTTGTATGGATTATCAACAAAACAGCGTCCTGAACATACATGTAATTAGAAGCAGAATAAAGTCATAAATTTGTAATTGCGTGAGAAAATATAAACTCATGCCAATAATGGTTGTCACCCCCACCCCACCCCAACCCCCACACCTCGACCCCCACCCCTCTCCAATTGAAAAAATTGAAGGGGGGTGACAACCATTATTGGCATGAGTATATATAGCCAATCCTTCTCGTAACGAATGACATACTGTATAATGTATAATGTATACTGTATACTGTACGTTTTTAACGATGACTGAACAAGGAGATTAATATTCTGTTCCCGGGGAATTGAATATTCTATGCCCCTTGGGACTGTTGTATTTGACCCGCTAGAGAGTAGTTTCAAGTGCTAGCCTAGCGTCTGCAACTGACTTATTTATTCAAGCACTGGATGCCTTTGCATACGTTTTTAACACGTGCCACTGTTGTGTGTGTGTTAGTGAGTGAGTTTGGTTTTACGCCAAGTATATTTTAGCAATATTCCAGGCAATATTGGCTCCGCACATTTTGCTCATGTGGGGAATCGAACATGGGTCTTCGGCGTGACGAGCGAACGCTTTAACCACCTCCCGTGTCACTGGTGGGTATGATACGTTCAGCTTATCTTGAATGCACTGTATCGGCATCTATTTGACGGAGAGATTCATTAACACACATACACACCCTCACACCTTTACACATACACACACCTCACACATATATACACACCCTCACACATACACACACCCTACATATACACACACCCTCAAACATATACACACACCCTCACACAAAAAACACACACCTTTACACATACACACAACCTCACATGATACACACCCTCACAAACATACACATGCACACACACACTCACGTACACACACGCGCACTTATATAAACAACACTGTCTCACACACAGAAACACACAACCTTCTCTCACTCACTAGGACACCAACTATCAGAATGTAAATTTTTCAATTCAGCTTTACTGAAATTATCTATCTGTGTTAAAGTCGCTACTTCTCCATAGAGCGACCGTGTTCCTTGTCAGTTTTATATACTACTCACACTTTGCTAAGGATCACAAAAATTCCCAACTTTACTTAAACGTAGATTTATAATTTGAAATTGTATCCATTTAAAACTGGATTAATAATGATATGGTAACCCCTCTTAAGGCAAACAGAAGGCAAACAGCCACTTTAATCTAACCTTATGCACTTGATACATGAGTAAGCATAGAAATTGTTTTCATGGAACCAATCAACCATTTTGCAAATCACGGAACGAGTCACTGACAAGTACACAACACCTGTCAATAGCAAGTATGGGATCCACAAGATGCAGTGACATACTGAAACCTAGATCCATGCTTACAATAAGCTTAGATATTTAAACCAAATTAGACCCCGCATCCTAGTTTTCTGTTGAATCAATGATTTGATCCTTAGCAAAGTGTGAATAGTATAATATTTTAATTAGATCAGTTCGTGTCGCTTAGTGTGTGTGTAACGATCTATCGTTTGATCATGGTCCACTTCACTTCATACAAAACAACAATCCCTATATGTTTATCGTTCTATCACCTATGTCGATATATTGAGCACAGAGTTAAATATCATCAATATTTCACAAGGCTTTGAAACACGCGTTTATACTTTCAAAGTTATGTTTGAATATTGGCTATGAACTGTCAAGAGAATACTAGAATACTCGGTGATGTCATTCTATTGAACGATTTGTTCTGTTTCACGAAAAGACAATCTGCTTGTCTTCAACACATTCTCGACTGACTGAGTTAGCGCCTCAAGAGGCAGTTGGCTGTTTTCAGCCATATCGTGACTATAAAAAGTTATAGACGAATACAATATGTTTATTATTATTTAATGGGGCAGTAAAATGACTAGACTGTCACATATGTTTTAAAACTGGGATGTAAATTAATTCACGAAAAGTATCTCACTATATATAACAATCACAACGGAATATACAAATGTATATTGTCAGCAACTGAAGCACCATTCTAGGGACCATGGGGACTTGCCACCTAGCTGAATCTACATCATTCCTTTCGTTTCTTGTAACTATGGAAACATTTAGCCACTTAATCAAAATAATACATATTTAACGATAAACAGGTGGGTGAAACGACTAACAATCCCAATAATCAGTATACTGTGCTAGTTGTAATAAAATCATTTTACACATACACAATTCATTTAGTAAGATTACACGAGAACGAGTATTGAAACGACCCTGTTAAGATGAAAAAAGTTACGTACAATCGAAAGTAGACACGTGGTATTTTGGGATTATTTTAACAAACGAAAACGAAAATATTTTGAACAGTGTTCTGTTTAAGACTTTCAAGTTTGAAATTTTGTGTACACGTTATGAATGCACAATGTCATTTAGATGGTGAAGTACAGAGTCTAGTACTTTTGTTAGGTTGAGCCTCTCAGAGTCAGGCACCTTATCGACAGCACAAAAAGTCAGCCCTTGTATGGTAAGTTTACAACTGTTGAGGTACAATCTTGCTAATTTTACCAAGGTTTCAAAGAACGTCATACTACTCTTGCTCAGTAACCGTTCGATCGAGGTTACAACTTGGCATTATTAAATCTCTCGAAAACCACCATGGTAGACATGTTGAGGAAACTGATATATGTGACACATCAGTGAAGAAAATCCAATCCAGATCCAATCCCCTATTTTGACTTGAACCTAAGTTCCCGAATGTTTTCAGGTAAACAATAGAATAGCATTTGCATATGTAGTGACAGCTGTCATAGATGGTAGGGTTGGGTATTGTCAAAAGTTTCGTATTGCGATATATTGTGATATGTGTTGGCGTGTTGCAATATGCATTGCAATATATTGTGAAAGTGTCACACATGGGTTAAGGTAATGAAATTACTGTTTCCCTTTTGAAACAATGCCACTGGTCACTGTCAAGACTCAGATGTGATTCTACAACAGATCAACTGAAAATGTTTCCAAATTGAAGACTTCGCTCTAAAATTTTGAACTCGAGAAAAAGTCGCTGCAGCGGCGTCCGCCATGATTTTGGTTTGTTTATCCTTACAACATGTCGCTCACGATACTGCGTTTGTGCTGACGCTGGGCATCCATTGACAAGGTGCTGAGCAGTGTCATTAATTTCGTTACATAATCTACATCTACAATTTGATGTTAAACTTGACTTGACCTGAGCAGCAAACCGAAAGCCTTCTGTTCACTTTTCAGGCCAACCGAAGCCATGCAAACAAAGGATTGTTGCTCTCAACACATTGCTCATAAGCATGCATTGGTCGTTCTGAGAACCTTCCATTGAAAAACCGAGGACGACAGTCCACAAAATACAACATTGACATTGCCATTATATATATTTAACATCATTGGCTTGTTTGGGACGTGGAATACCTGATTTCTTCATGAGTATCAACATACTTCAAAACAGAATCATCAGACAAATAATATGCAGCGACTCAACATTAATCAAACAATATCATTGTATTTAACGATTATTTGATTATTGGTGATGTTTTATTGTAAACATCAGGCAGTATCTCATTGCCGTCTTTGGAATGCTTTTGGTATTTTGTGGGGTAGCCTAGTTGTTAAAGCGTTGGCTCGTCACGCCGAAGTCCGGGTTCGATTCCCATGGGTACAACCCATTTCTGGTGTCGTGATATTGCTGGAATAAGCTAAAAGCGGCGTAAAACTAAATTCACTCAAACTCATTTTGGTGTTGAACTCAGGTTCAATTGTATGACCCAGAATAAGTAGGCGCGTCATGGAAAACGATAATTATAACCTTCTTTGAAAAGGCCCCTATACAGTCGCATATGGATCCAGGCCTACAATCCTGATCTTTCCTGTTTGATATATCCAATGATATATACCGAGAATAAACAGTTAAGCGCCAGCCTATTTCAATACTAGGATGTGAAGCTGTGGAAATGTTAGGCTAAAATAATTGGGAAGACCAATCCATATTTAGAGAAGGTTCATCTAGTAACTGGTTTAGGGATATCATAAACATTTGTATTTACAATTAAAGGAAATATTGTTAAAGATATGAAGGCACTGCTTTTTAAAGCAAAATAACTATTCCTACTCTGCTCATACAACACTATTCAACGTAGGTTTCACTTGCCAGAAATGACAATCATGTGACCATATAACAGACATTTCTGATTTTCACTTTTCAAAAGAAGGTAACCTTTTTGACGAAAACAAGATGCATGTTTTCCAAAAGCGCATACATCCTGTTTAAAGTAAAAGATAATTTCCATAATGGTTTTATTTTTAAAAGTACTAAACCAAATTATTTTTTCTGAAAGATTTCCTATGAGACAACCTATATTGGCAAAATATACTGGGTGGTGCTTAGCTTTTTATTCACAGTATATTACAAATACCACTAAATCGTCCCTTTTGACACTAATATGATTGACAAGAGCCAGGAAAAACGTGGCTGATATGCGAACCTCGCTTACGAAATCTCACGCTTCCATTCCAAGTAAAACGTTGGCAGACTCTATTGTACTCGGTGCCTCGGTTTTGGTCTGTCGATTGACACTGTGTGAGTACCCTGTTTCTTGCCAAGAACATAGCCCTCCTGACGCACTGGGTAATGCTTTGTGGCTGCATTGTTGGGGAGTCAACACAAGCGGACCTCGCCTTTGAAATGTCTCGCTTGCACCCAAAGTCCACTGTTTTCCGACTCCTCGTCGTTCTCGGTGCCCATTGTTTGGTACCTCCTGATCTCTTGGTGCAGATCAGGAGAGTGTACAGTTTCTCCACCGGAAGAACGGGTCGTCTGACACTTTGGGTAAAGCAGAAGTCTGCAGAGTCTACGTATTCTCCGGAGTTCTTGGTGGGTTCGACTAGGCAGCGCTTCCTGGGAGGCGTCCCATTCGCTGTCGGGACTGCGTGTAGAGGGGACAAGGACTCTGAGCTGATGATGAGCTTAACTAGCCTGACTGTGTCATAACCAACCCATCTTTTTCTGCTGTATTGTTTTAATCCGTAGAGCTAATTCTGGATTGATATTTGCTTTTCCATGTAGGACAGCATTGTTATATATGGATATCAAACGGAATAACGAGGGAAAACATGTTTTTTCATATAGTACTTATCAAATTTTCACCGATATTCTTCAATAGTGTCTTGGAGGTTATATTATTTTAAAAATGGTATGTTGTAACCTCATGCAAACAGAATCCTAACGATTTTCGATACATGCTCCCATAGGTGAGCAAAATAATATAATGGACATTGATAAGGATGTGTACACAAAGAGTTCATGATCAACTACATGTATATGGATTACTCGACGTGAGTCACGTCTTAGACAGAGCACTTCAATTCATATGGAACCTTTTTCATATTTATCTCTTAAATACAGTCAGTTGCATGCACCCAGTGTGCATTTGAACTGAAACCCACGACTTTCCCTAACGATTAAACATGTGCATTTGTTTGTGTGTAAGAATGCATGCTTCGATTAATAACTTCTTTTATTGCCCAAGGTGCGGGGAAGAGTATTTCAGATAGGTGGCGGCCAATAATTATTGAACCAGATCATCCAGTTATCCGATATCGTGGACAACTTTCAACATCGTTCCTATCAACCACGTCGTTGAGCCCGACCACCCGATCTATTGGGTCACATCTGATATTACAGACAGCTTTGGTCAGAACCACATCCTTCCCGGAATCTCAACAGGGAATGGATTAGTGTGGGACGATACCTGTATGATAATGATCGTATCGAGTGAGTTGAGTGAGTGAGTGAGTAAGGTTTTACGCTGCTTTTAGCAATATTTCAGCATTATCACGGCGGGGGACACTGGCGGGCTTCACACACCCAGGTGGGGAATCGAACCCGGATCTTCGGCATGACGAGCAAACGCTTCAACCACAAGGCTAACCCATCTCCCCTTATCTGTTTAATAACTTTCATGGATTTGGTTACTTATATGATTTGATTCATGGTGAACTGAGGACTGGCATTTCAGTTCGATGGCCCTCTTATGTCGTCCGGAGTAGTACACACGGGCACATACGCACGTACACGCACGCACGCACGCACGCACGCACGCACGCACTCACGCATGCACACATAACCTGCATTTCATCTAACATCTGTGTACACAAAGAAATGTTTATATTGATGTTGTTTTATACATCATATAAACAGGCGGCTGGATTGAGTTCGTAATTGTTTACGCCACTTTTATCAATATGGAGGCGGGGACTCCAACAATGGAGGGTGTTTTAAAGTTGGCCAGATGGTCTGTTTCCTTCTGCTAGTAAAATTTGCGACCCGTGAAGATCCGGGTAAGAATTGATCTTCAGTAACCCATGCTTGTCGTAAGAGGCGACTAACGGGATCTGGTGGTCAGGCTCGATGACTTGGTTCACACGTCATGTCATCGTATCCCGATTGCGTGGATCGACGCTCATGCAGCTGATCACTGGATTGTCTGGTCTGTACTTGATTATTTACAGACGGTCGTCATACAGCTGGAATATTGAGAGCGGCGTTAAACAACAAATAAACAAAACCATTCATATTGCCATACCAGATGGACGTACCTGAACACAAGAAACAACAGCGTCATTAACGGCTGGTTCGTCCATATTGTTACTGTGCACTAAAAGGCAAATGAAAATAGTTTAATTAATTGTTGTGGTTAATAATTCATATTTTAAAAGTTTGTGAATTGTCGCTGATCATGATGTGTGACCTGATGATCTCCTGTCATTCGTGATACATATCGATCCGTGAACTTCCGCGTGGATGCGCATCTGACATGAAAGTATCAAATCAATAAAGTGCCTATTCAGCTGTGCACTAAGCGCACTCTTGCGATCGTGGTTTGTGAAGGCGGGCTGTGGGTTGTGGGAAGGTGTGTGAAAAGTTCAGACAGTCAGATTATTATTTTTTACAGAGTCAGAAACGAAGTCAGATAAGGCGTCACTTACAGAAGCACACACAGAGTGTGATCGTGGTAGCCTGTGAAGGCGGGTTGTGGGTTGGAGGAAAAGTGTTTGAGAAAGTCAGAAGCAAAGTCAGAAACAGTCACGTACGGAGTCAGAATCAAAGTCAGATACGGCGTCACTTACAGAGGCACATACGGACTGTGATCGTGGGATGTGAAAGAGGGCTGTGAATTGGTGGATAAGTGTGTAAGAAGTCGGATACAGATTCAGAAACGACGTCAGATACACAGTCACATACGGAGTCAGATACAGTGTCAGATCAGGACAAGGACAGGGAGTGTACAGAGTTGAGGTAAGTTTCAAATTTTTCATTCTGAGTCAGTAATGAGTATTGTTCTTTGAAAGAACTTGGTTACTACACGAACTATATGCAAAGGCATGACAGGCCTGAGCATAAACCAGATGAAATGTGTTCATCATCGAATGTCCTTTTAGTGAATGGATCAAGTTCACCTAAAGCCCATACTGATCGGTTACTGACTGATTCGTGTAATATTGAAAAAGTATTATCATGTACCAAGTATCAGTAAAGTCATAAACATCGTACGTACGTGCATACATACATACACACGCACGCACACACACACAGACACACACACACATACATACACATCCATCCATCCATCCATACAGACAGACATACACGCAGGCACGCACTCGCAGGCATACACACGCACACACACATACATACATACATACATACAAACATACACATACATACACGCAAAAACGCACACGTACGCATACACACGTACACACACACACACATACATACATACATACATACATACATACACATACATACATACATACATACATACATACATACATACATACATACATACATACATACACGCAAGTACGCACTCGTAGGCATACACACGCACACACACACACATACATACATACATACATACATACATACATACATACATACATACATACATACACGCAAGCACGCACTCGTAGGCATACACACGCGCACGCATATGTATACATACATACACACATATACATACATACACACACACACGCAAGCACACACTCGCAGGCATACACACGCACACATACATACATACATACATACATACATACATACATACATACATACATACATACATACATACATACATACATACATACATACATACATACATACATACATACATACATACGTACATACATACATATACACACACACAGAGACATACATACATACATACATAAATACACACATAAATACATACATACATACATACATGCATGCATGCATGCATGCAAGAACGCACTCGCAGGCATACACACGCACACATACACACACGCACACACATACACACATGCATACATACACACACATACATACATGCATACATGCATACACACGCACACACACATACCTACCTATATCTACCTATATACACACATACATACATATACATACATACATACATATACACACACACATACATACATACATACATACATACATACATACATACATACATACATACACGCACATACATACACATACACACATACACATACACACACATACATACATACATACACGCACACACACAATACATACCTACATACATACACATACACACATACACACACACATACACACACACACACACATACATACATACATACATACATACATACATACATACATACACATACATACATACATACATACATACATACATACATACATACATACTTACATATATATATACCTACATACATAGATAAAGTGATATCTTTAGTCAATTTGGAACGTAACTAAAATATGTGAATTTCGTACATTGTACATACTGTCACAAAAAATAAGTGTTGTAGATCTGTCGAATTTATTTGTGGAATTCGGATACCAAACAAAGATCAACTTTGATCAACACAAATGCAAATGGAATCATTGTATAACTTCAGTTTTGAAATTGTCTTGTTTTAAAGGTTCAATTTTGTTTTATGGATTCAAACTCGCAAATAGGAATCATATTTGAATTTTGAAGCATTCATGTTTTCTAATGACATTTAGGCACAGGATACATGAAATGTAAGGAAAATGTGTGAAAATACATGTACTTATGCAAATGTATTACGTCAATAGAAAAGAGTAATAACAATTAACTATCCTTGGAAACAGATTACGTTTGGTTTGAAAGACAAAAAAACTGCCAACCATGAATGGCCCACTGGCAATCGGTGGTGACACCAGGTGTTCGGAAAAGGGTGAGCATGTCGGGGTATTTAGACGTCTCAGTTCAACTGCGCCATGGCATAAATACAAAAGAGAGCAAACAACAAAACATCGGTGATATAATTTACAACTGTATTCCATATTCAACTACTTGTACAAATCAATACAAATATCTACAAAGGAATTACAATAGCAATACAAAATCGAGTGACAATACAAATACAATGACAGTAAAAATACAATGACAACATATGTTATATTTGTTATGTAATATATGTTGCATTTGACCAATTTCTAAAAATGGCATTGTGTAATCAAATAAAATGACAGTACAAATACAATGACAATACAAATATAATAACAATAAAAATACAATGATAGGACAAATACAATGACAATACCAAAACAATAACAATACAAATACAATGGCAGTACACATACAATGACAATACAAATACTATGGCAGTACATATACTATGACAGTACACATACAATGACAATACAAATACAATGACAGTACAAATACAATGGCAGTACACATACAATGACAATACAAATACATGGCAGTACACATACAATGACAGTACAAATTCAGTGACAGTACAAATACAATAACAATACAAAAACAATAGCAATACAAATACTATAACAATACAAATACTATGGCAGTACATATACTATGACTGTACGAATATAATGTTAATACAAATACAATGCTAATACAAATACAATGACAATACAAATACAATGACAGTACATATACAATGACAATACAAAAACAATGACAGTACAAATACAATGTCAGTACACATACAATGACAATACAAATACAATGACAGTACAAATACAATGGGAGTACACATACAATGACAGTACAAATTCAATGACAGTACATATACAATGACAATACAAATACAATGACAGTACATATACAATGACAATACAAATACAATGACAGTACAAATACCATGGCAGTACACATATAATGACAGTACAAATTCAGTGTCAGTACAAATACAATAACAATACAAAAACAATAGCAATACAAATACTATAACAATACAAATACTATGGCAGTACATATACTATGACAGTACAAATACAATGTTAATACAAATACAATGCTAATACAAATACAATGACAATACAAATACAATGACAGTACATATACAATGACAATACAAATACAATGACAGTACAAATACAATGGCAGTACACATACAATGACAATACAAATACAATGGCAGTACACATACAATGACAGTACAAATTCAGTGACAGTACAAATACAATAACAATACAAAAACAATAGCAATACAAATACTATAACAATACAAATACTATGGCAGTACACATACAATGGCAGTTCACATACAATGACAGTACAAATTCAGTGACAGTACAAATACAATAACAATACGAAAACAATAGCAATACAAATACTATGGCAGTACATATACTATGACAGTACGAATACAATGTTAATACAAATACAATGACAATACAAATGCAATGACAGTACATATACAATGACAGTAAAAATAACGTGAAAGTACAAATACAATGGCAGTACAAATACAATGACAATACAAATACAATGACAATACAAATTCAATGACAGTACATACACAATGGCAATACAAATACAAATACAATACAAATACAATGACAATACAAATACAATGACAGTACATACACAATGGCAGTAGAAATATAATGACAATACAAATACAATGACAATACAAATACAATGATAGTACATATACAATGGCAGTACAAATTCAATGACTATACTAATACAAAGGCAATATGATATAAAAGTACTTATTATAGGATTAACTAGAGTGATGGTAATCTTCACATCGCTGTGATGATTTGTTATGTTTGATAATTATACGTAACAACTGTATTTTAAATGTAACTACTTTTACAAATCGATACACATCCCTACAAATGAAATAAAATGGCAGTTCAAAATCGACGGGCAATACAAACCCAATGGCATTACAAAATTGTCCAGCTTATAAAGAACTTTTGCCTAAGAATTGGCAAGTTAATATGTAATATTTTATCAATATCCTTAAACAAATCCAAACTTGAGACAATACCAGTCGAACTCGTTTTATCTATTGTGCATATGAAATGAGGATACAATAAAAAATAGAAAATAGGTTTAACATTCTGAAGATTCCAGTACAGCTATACATATGTATGTTACTAATATTTTCAATGGGGTTTAATATCATCCACAGTTAAACGCCATGAATTTTGATAAATTGTTTTCTTTTTTCGTTCACGCCTGTTTATGCCTGTTTGGAATGCGTATATTAATATCTATATGGGCCTGTGACCCTCATATGTCATAAATGTTTGGATGATGATGAAATGCAGTGACAATATTATATAAAGTAATGATTAAAGCAACAACGAAAGTGATGGTAATATTCTCTAAGCTACAGATTCGTGAAGATCGGGTTAGAATCGATCTTCAGTAACCCATGCTTGTCGTAAGGTTCGACTAACGGGGTCGGGTGGTCAGGCTTGCTGACTTGGTTGACACATGTCATCATATTCCAGTTGCGTAGATCGACGCTCATGCCGTTGATCACTGGATTGTCTGGTTCATACTTATTTACAGACGGTAGCCATATATCTGGAATATTGCTGATTGCGGTTAAAACAACGCACTCACTCACTAAACTACAACAGCGGTCCAGCTTGCAAAATAGGCCAAGGCTGAGAATCCAAGGTGAACAGTGAGTGAGTGAGTATGGTTTTACGCCGCTTTAGCAATATTCCAGCAATATCAGGGCGGGGGACACCAGAAATGGGCTTCACACATTGTACCCATGTGGGGAATCGAACCCGGGTCTTGGTCTTGACGAGCCAACGCTTTAACCACTAGACTACCCCACCGCCCACCAAGGTGAACAGAAATCTTTACACTGCTGGTCTTGTTTTTTGTAATATAAAATATAATGTGAGCCGAAACAGGCAAGTCTGGGCCCTTGTATACGAAAAAGTCCAGGAGCAATCGTGTCTTAAATACCGAGTAAAAACAAATACAACTTTGATCTACAGTGAATCACACTGACACAAAAGACTGTACGTACAGACAATGGTAGAAGTGTCGTTGCCTTTGTACAAATCCCTCATGGTTAATGTATAAATTGCTTGGAGCTGTATATGTGTATTGGAACGTAGCTGATGAACGTTTTCTGGTGTGTAAAGCAAGCTTACACGACATATTATATTCAACTTTCGGTATTTACATTCTCAATAACACGGTACGCCGGGTAAACAGCGTGGCTTTCTTTATAATCATACATTGCATCAAGGAGATTGGCAGCACAAAGGGGAACAGATTAACAGGTCAGTTTCCCGTTTCCAAGTCTCCTCAACTGATGCTGTCATTTAAAGAACTCCTGTTACTTTGTACAGCAAACATCACGTCAATGTTTGTGGTAAACATTTCAGTTCCCGAGTTGCAAAATCGTTAAACATCTAAATCCTTATTTCACATCAGTGAATGACAGTATGCATAATAGATTGGTAGACTGCTTTAGCGTTATTATAAGCCCGCTTAGCATGAAACTGATTGCAATCGTCGACGAAGACGCAGTCGACGAACATGAGGCCATGAGTATTTTTGTGTGTTTTTCACTTCCTACTTCAATCATCAAGAGAGAGGGTAGCTAAAACAAACAAAATAAAAACATGTTTTCTTTACCAGTGTAACTAGCTTAATGCGGTGTAAGTTCTTGAGCACAGAGCTCAGAGCACATGTCACAAATTAGTTGAAGTAAAGCAACACTGAGCACAGAGAGTCCTTGGATGGGTGACCGTGTTTGGCAGCTGGACTTTTGAGAGTTTCTAGGACTTCTGTCCTGCCCCAGAACGAAGCACATTCTGTCTCACCTTAGACAAGTGAGATTGTTCAGAATTGTCTCTGTTCCCTTGCAGAAAATGGGTACCCGGTGGGATAAGTCATTTGACTATTAACCTTCTAACGCCTCACGGGCAGCTTGAAATATACGGGGTAATTAATGATGTCCATTATGTTCTATGCGCTTAGAGCATGCTCGTGCGGCTTTAAATGGCGTTAATAAAATGACATTTTATATTTAGGTTAATTCGTAATAATCTTTTAATCATTATGGTGATTGAGCCGCATTGATTCGGAAACATTTTCAAATAAACGTAGGTGTAGAAAAATTATGCTGGCCACGTTTCTTTTTATGAGTGTGACAGAAAATCATCACAGCATAAATTTCCTCAGCGGGGTAAATGGAGATTATAATATGTTTTAACGGAATGAAAATTCATGGTGCGAGATGGGTTTAGTTTGGGTGACATGTTGTTTAACGCCACCCTCAGAAATATTCTAGCTATATGGCAGCGGTCTGTAAATATTCGAGTCTGCACCAGACAATCCAATGATCCACATCATGAGCATCGATATACGCAGTTTGGTTTACGATAACATGTGTCAACCAAGTCAGCAAGCCTGACCGTCCGATCCCGTCAGTCGCCTCTTACGACAAGCAGTGGTTGCTGAAGAAAAATTCTTACCCGGATCTTCACGGGTCGGCGGGAAATGGGAACCACAGAAATAATACGGACAGCCTTATTGTAAATGATCTCATTCAGTAAGTCGCAGCTACCGCTAATGACATTAATCTCCCATTCTACAGTGCTCAACAAACATCCGTGACTGCTGCGCAGTTTGTGATAAATATTTTTGAAATGTTTTTCACAAGCTAATACAAAAATGTTAATACCGTTAAAACCCCAGAGGCATTACACAAATTTCAGGTTCCTTCAACAAACTAAAGGCTATTCAAAATCTGTATGTGCCACCTGAAAGAGATGTCTCGGGCTTTCTGCCATAGGTCTGTTGTTGCGCCTGCTAAGTAAATACGTTATTGACTGGTGACTATCGTGTAAGTGGTTTCACATTTGTGGATGAAGAAAGGTTTTCCATGCCAGGACATTTCTTATCTAACCGATAAAGAGACGGAAGTTCCACATATTTACTGGCATCAACTTTGTCATTGTGAAATGCAAACGTTATCCGTAATTTTCCGTAGCATTAGCAACGTCAGTTGAAACCCAATGGCATTATAAGCAGTTCGTTTTGTTGTTTCCCATATACCGCCCGCCCTCAATTATCATCCCGAAATCAGAAACGTTTCCCGATACCGTTAGTTGCCTTTTACGACAAGCTGTTGTTGAAGTTCAATTCTAAACGGATTTTCACGGGTCGTATAAGTTCGAACCATGTTATCCCCGATTGTGTTGCTGTTTCGGTCTGAGCTATAACCATACTTGTGAGTTTCAAAAGATCTGTATGCGTCATATATGGCGAATACAAGCTTTGATATGCTATTACTAAAAACAGCGTTAAACTCACTCACTCACTCACTACCAGACGGAATCATCTGAGGTAAAGCATCACCTATTCATACTATCTCGTTCATAAAATAATCGGGTGGTCAGTCTCGCTGACATGAATGACACGTGTCATCGTTTCCCAATTGCGTAGATCGATGCTCATGCTGTTGATCACTGGATTGACTTGCCCAGACTCAATTATTTAAAGACCGCCGCCTTAGCTGTAATATTGCCGCCTTAGCTGTAATATTGCTGCTGCGGCGTAAAACAAGGAACTAACAAAGAACAATTTGGACACAAATTCAGTCACTGAAGTAACTTCAGAAACCGGATTCATACAGTTTGCACGTCGGTGTTTCGGTTCATATTTACAGAATCAGTCCTTAAATAAATGTACCTGCATGTAGACCTATAAACGTCCTCTTCACAGATACTGATCGACATGTGATGGCAATTCTGCGATGCCAGCTCCTTGTAAACAGAAGCTCCGTGCTCATCTGTCAGCTGATCTTCGTCACGTCGCTGGGGTATTCTGTCGTCACTGCTGCCACCAAAGTATGCACAGACAACTCTCTCCTGAACAACAGCGGTATGAACGTCGACAAAAGGGTGACGCAAACTCCTTACGTTATCCTTACAACATCGGGGCTGATGGACTGCGGGGTTAAGTGTCAAAGACGAAAGGCGTGCGGCGGTGTCAACTTTAACGTCAACACTGGCGACTGTGAATTGTTGGGTGTGGCAGCAAATCAAAATTCATTTACCACAGAGACGGGATGGATCCATTCCATTGTCGCCATGTTCCCGAAGGTTTGTAGTGTAATTCAATTTCATACACAGTGGGTGTTGAATATAGGAGTGCGTGTTGTATTGTGTTGTGTTTAACACAATTTTAGACAGTTGTCATGTCATCTCGACTCATCACTTAAAAATAGGAATGTGTTGTGTTCAACACTGGGGTTAAGGGGCGGTGGGGTAGCCTAGTGGTTAAGGCGTTCGCTCGTCACGCCGAAAACCCGGGTTCGATTCCCCACATGGGCACAATGTGTTAAGTCCATTTCTGGTGTCCCCCGCCGTGATATTGCTGGAATATTGCTAAAAGCGGCGTAAAACTAAACTCGCTCAACACTGGGGTTAAGGTACGGGCATCATTTTTTTATGTGTTTCACGTAGCCACCAAATTTTTAACATGGGTCGGTCGGTCGGGAAGAAACAACGAAAAACTTAATAAAGACAAAAATATCTGAAAAATGTTCTTGATTCTCATTTATTGTAATTCTTAATACAAATAACTCGCGTTCTTTGGACTTGTGGCAGTGACTGATTTAAAGATAAACGTTTTATATGACGAGGCGGTACGTTTTAGATTAGAGTCGGCGGTGTTGCAATGAAATAAAAGTTGTTTTTTTTTCTTACTTTTCTCTTTTCTCTTTTTCGGGCGGGGAGGGTGTCGGCAGTAAAATTAGAAGGGTCGGTCGGGCGATGAGAAACACAGAAAATAAAAATGCTGCCCTAATTGTCGCCTACATCATCATTTGAAAAAAGGAGTGAGTTTGTTGTGTTTAACCCAGCTTTAGGCACTTATCAGTTATACTACGGCCCGTCACTTGTATATAGGAGTTACTGCATTGCTTGTAATACAACTTTAGGCACTTGGTAGTCGGTATCATGGGTCGTCACTTGAAATTGGGAATGTGTGTGTGTGCTGTGTATAAGACAGATTTAGCAACTGTCAGTTATCCTACGGCTCGTCACTTGTATATAGATGTGAATTTGTTGTGTTGTGTTGTGTTTAACACTTTTTCAGGCAGTTGTGATTTTATCAGAGATCGTCAGTTGTAATAGGAGTGCTCCACACATCTGGGTTTAGGTGACAAGCAAACGGGTTAACCACTTGACTACCAAACCAGCATATTTGGAAAGTCCCAAGAGACGCAATTCACTTGTAACGACCTTCGTCTTTGAGGGATATGTTGTTGATAAACAATGCAAAATCAGAGGACGTGACGACCCAACAATTTAACTCAAGGTTACACTAACTACACCTGAGGAAATTGTTATGTCATTGCTTTCTTCAAAGGCACGAGTTTATTACAGAGACTTCGCTAGCATTGTTTTTAAATTTTCTTTCCGCTCGTTGTTCATTCATTACTGTGTTATCCAGATACTGTCAGGGAACTGTGCTGACCACACCTGCACCTCCCTTCAGTACTGTGAACCTTCAGCTTCCTCGTACAGCTGCATCTGTAAGTATTGCTCAGCATTTTATAGCTTTGTCGATAAATACCTTCAGCCGTAAATCAATTAATTTCTGCATGGCGTTCAGGTCTGATGATCGCAATACGTTCATCTTCGATCTTAGTGTCACGTTACTGTATATGAAAACAAACATGGCATTACGTTCTGTTGTAATGTCATATCAACGTCACGTACTACTGTAACGAAACCAGTCTGGTTGACGTACTATTGTATCTAAACCAGTCTGGTTCACGTACTACTGTGCATAACGAAACCAGTCCTGAATGGGATTGGCGGACTACTGTAACGAAACCAGTCTGGTTGACGTACTATTGTAACGAAGCCAGTCTGGTTGACGTACTATTGTAATGAAGCCAGTCTGGTTGACATACTACTGTAAGGAAACCAGTCCTTTCTTGTATTGACATACTACTGTAAGGAAACCAGTCCTTTCTTCGACTGAAGTGCTATTGTAAGGAAACCAGTCCTTTCTTGGATTGACGTACTACTATAAGGAAACCAGTCCTTTCTTGGATTGACGTACTACTATAAGGAAACCAGTCCTTTCTTGGATTGACGTAGTACTATAAGGAAAACAGTCCTTTCTTGGATTGACATACTACTATAAGGAAACCAGTCCTTTCTTGTATTGACGTACTACTATAAGGAAACCAGTCCTTTCTTGGATTTACATACTACTGTAAGGAAACCAGTCCTTTCTTGGATTGACATACTACTGTAAGGAAACCAGTCCTTTCTTGGATTGACGTACTATTGTAAGGAAACCAGTCCTTTCTTGTATTGACATACTACTGTAAGGAAACCAGTCCTTTCTTGGATTGACATACTACTGTAAGGAAACCAGTCCTTTCTTGTATTGACATGCTACTGTAACGAAACCAGACTGGTTGACGTACTACTGTAAAGGTACCAGGAGGGGTTCTTGTTATAGTACTACTACAAGATATACTGACCGGTCTGTTCTTAATGCACAGACTAGTACCTGCCAGGCGCAAGGAGATATGCTTTGACGACACCTCCCTCCTCTGGAAAGAGTTCTTCTGTATCCTTCCCTTTTCTGCTTTACGTGCTTGTCCAAAAAACCATTAACAGACTCCGCGGTCCGACTGCATGCAGAGTGTACGATACATACACTAAACAAAAAGAAAGGTCGCTGGTGTTACTTGTGCCAAACATACCCATATAATACAAAGTGTGTTGCTTGTGGGTAATTCTTGGACGTAATAAGCGTGACTAAAACAGGATTACGCATTACGGTGCGCTTGCGGCATCCTCCACAGTTAACAGTGCACGATGGGGTCACTTTGAGATTTCACAGGGACTAACCATCCTGTGTTTGTCTATTCGAACAATTGACGCGCCGTGGCATGTGTTTGTGACAGGTACCACCAGTGGTGCCACACACGCTTATCTTTTCGTCTGTTATCGTAATGACAAGCTTCTGCTTGAGTCGGGATACAAATAATTTTCTTGGGGTGACATCTGTTTCAGCAACGGCACTAGAAACTGCTACCGCTGCCACTACTTCCACCACCACTCAAACCACCACAACTTCTACTACAACTTCAACGACAACTACAACGACAACAACTCCAGCTCCTCCGAATTTTCCAATATCATCGGGTGAGAGAGATGACAAGTGACATGGAGGTAGATGAACAAGAACCTTATAAAATACAAATATCAGTCTGCTAAATCCATGAAGATTATTCCGAAAACAAACAATTACAAGGATGTTACTGTGATCGATTGACGTTGAAAAACGTCACGCCACAGCCCCTCGGTTTCGCAGAATTCAACTTTATTTTATCTCTTTTGAAATGGGGTACCAGTTCTGTTGATGAATGAACATCTATTTTTACTATGACCCTTTTCAGTTGTTTAGCTGCTTGAATGTTAGGTACATCATTGTCACTGACAGGATCGACTTGAACCACTGTCTGAAAGGAGTGATTTGGCTTCAAAACCATTGTTAAGTTACCATTGTCATTGACAGGATCGACTTGAACCACTGTCTGAAAGGAGTGATTTGGTTACAAAACCAATGTTAGGTTACCATTGTCATTGACAGGATCGACTTGAACCACTGTCTGAAAGGAGTGATTTGGTTACAAAACCAATGTTAGGTTACCATTGTCATTGACAGGATCGACTTGAACCACTGTCTGAAAGGAGTGATTTGGTTACAAAACCAATGTTAGGTTACCATTGTCATTGACAGGATCGACTTGAACCACTTTCTGAAAATTGAGAGATTTGGCTTCAAAGCCAATGGTAAGTTACCACAGTCACTGACAGGATCGACTTGAACCACTTTCTGAAAAGTGTGTGATTTGGCTCCCAAACCTTTGAAAATTATTTCAGTTATTGTCAGGCGTAGAGGACTAACATATGGACAATGCCCGAATTTATGTTGGTCCTGTTGATAACACGTTTGAGTAACCCACGTGCAGCGGTTAATGCTGTCAAACTGAGAAACAGTTCGAGTCCACGATCATGATTCCTGGCACGCATAAGGGGCGCAACTCTGTACAGCTAACTGTGGCGCATCACGACTGCTTTACCAGTTTTCTTTAAAAAAGTATTCCCTAGTCACAGGTTCATGTCACATGTCCATCGGTGTTAATTATATTTTTACCGGATCGTGGTATTTGATGCAATCTAATGTATGTTGTTAACGCCGTATTTACTAATGTTCCAGTAATTATGTCTTTTCCATTCAATCCAGTAATTCACATCATGAACATCAATCTACGTACCTGAAATACGGTGACATAGATCTACCATGTCAGCGAGACTCTGTAATGACAACCATGGATTGCATAAGACCAGATATTCAAGGGCCCATATTATGTTATTAGTGTTATTAAGGAACTACTTGTATACGAAGTGTAGACGTTCCAAATGAGCACGCTGTAATTCTTTGCAATTCGTTAATATTTTCCCACAGAAAAACCTCCATTGAGAGCATGTTGTCTGTTTGATCTATATATCAATGTTTTGGGTTTTTTTGTATTCGTGCTCTGACGAATAAATATATACAGTCTTAGTTTGTGTTTGCGTTGAGTGAATGCTATACATACATTAGCGATATATCTTATTTGCGGTATATCCGTTGTTTTGAAGCACGGTAGTTTGGCACCCTGGAGTCATGGTTCACTAGTTGAGTGGGCATTTGTTTGGTTTCCTCGAGGTCCCATACACAACTTCACTTAAACGCAAGTATTTATCTGCTTTTTTTAGGCGTTACGTATTTATTAAGATTGAAAATTAAAGATGGTTTCATACAATATATTTTGATACAAACGGGTGCCACTGTTTTGGGGTGTCTTGTATTTGCTATTTATTAGATAAAACAAGATTTTGATATCATGAAAGTTAGAAGAAGGGTAACAAATATACAATACAGTTGTTAGCAAAATGAAAATACAGTAAGATGCATGTCCCTTTTGCAGATCCGCGTTTCTTAGCGGACTATTTTCAGAATCCCTCGATTAGTTTTCAATTAATACCCATCCTCATATAGTTTTCAATTAATACCCATCAATTAATACCCATCATATTTTTTCAATTAATACCCATCCTCATATAGTTTTCAATTAATACCCAATATAGTTTTCAATTAATACCCATCCTCATATAGTTTTCAATTAATACCCATCCTCATATAGTTTTCAATTAATTTCCTCATAAGTTTTCAATTAATACCCATCCTCATATAGTTTCAAGTACCTATCCTCATATAGTTTCAATTAATACCCATCCTCATATAGTTTTCATCAAAAGTTCATCCTCCAACAGTTTCATTGTCCTGCAATAGATAGTCATGTTTATAACAAAACTGATTCGTACGTTCATGGAGCAAGCATCTTTTGAATAAAGAGACTCTAGTATAGCACATATTCTATTTGATGATGTATTTGCGCAGCATGGCATAGAAACAGACTCCCCATGACCCCTTTCGACCCGTAAACGAAATGCAAAGCGGCACTCTGGTATCAGTGCACATGCATATTTTAAGTTAGATATGGGTCCCGATCTACAAAATGTAGTGCTACTACATTCGTAAGCCTGTGATAAACTTTAGAGTTACGACTGGTCGTAACGTTACGAGTGAGCGAGTCTAATTTTACGCCGCACTCAGCAAAATTCCAGCTATATGGCTGCAGTCCGTCCACAATCAAATCTGGGCCAGACAATCCAGTGAGCAACAGCATGATCATCGATCTGAGCAATTGGGAACCGGTGACGTGTCAACCAAGTCAGCGAGCCTGACCATCCGATCCCGTTAGTCACCTCTTACGACAAGCATGGGTTACTGAAAATCAATTCCAACCCGATCTTCACGAATCTGTAGTTAATCACCTTTTTGTTGCTTTAGGTACTTCTATATATCATGTTGCCCCAGCATATCATCATCATCAAAATATTTATTACGTAATATACATATTAATATTCGACAAGCATGGGCTACTGAAGATTAATATTCTAACCCGGACCTTCACGGGTATGTAACGTTACGAACGCTTTGTGGATCTGTAATCTTGGTGGACTCTTCGGACCACACAGTTAATTATATTTTACATCTGACACTTTGCATTAATAAGTAACGATGTTTTGATGCTGAACGCTATGACCATTGGATTCAGGTCCCATGTGCGTGATACAACTGTAATGCAGTGTCCCAAGACAATCAAGGTGAAAGGAAATCTACTTGTTAGTAATGGTTCCTTTTTGTTTCTGTTAGAAAAGCCCCGATGGTCGACTCTTGTTCATCAGATGAAGAGCTTCTCAGTCAGGGATCACCATCAACTAGATTAACCTTTTTTTTTTTTTTTTTTTTTTTTTTTAAGAGTCAAAGTCTTTTTATTGTCTATAGGCCACAGGCCGTATACAGCATATATACAATTTTCACATACATTCACACATGTATACAATAACAAAGGTTGAGTTTACAACACATATATATATAATGTCATAGTACATGGGGAAATCCTACAACAATAATCTTACTGAATTGGGAGGTATTTTGATGCTCTAAGTTCATATGCATGGTATAAATATGTGCATAATTTTCTAGAAGTGTTTCGTTATTAGTAGTTTTTTGTTTTTTTGGGGTTTTTTTCCATCGTAAGTTGTATATAATGTCATATCTGATATATCATATATAAAGTATTACATCCCATATGTCAAGTTGTAAATAGCATCATATATGAACATATCATATTGTTTACAGCACCACATCTGACATATCAAGCTGTATATTGTGTCACATCCAACATATCATGTTAGATTAAACTTAACACTAGCGTTGAAGGTTGACATGGGGAATGACGGCGTTGTGTTCATGAATTATACATCATGTTTTGTTTTCGTTTTTTTTTAGTATATTTATTAGCGCACATATCCACGCAACTGGTGCATGCTCAAGGCGCTGGTATTTTCCCCTCGATCATTGGATGTCAATCTCAACGGCACATCGTATTAACAATCTCAACTCCCTGGGGAGTATACAACTCTTGCTGCCACTGGACGCACCGAGTTATTGTGGCTTTCTCATCCTAACAAGGTACCCATTCACAGTTGGGTGGACTGGGACACATAGTCACAGTACTTTGTCCAAGTTTACTGCACGTTGCTGTACCCGCAACTAGGTGTTTGCACGTATTCATGTGGCCACCATCTTGTCATATACCCACGGATTCGTGGGTTCTTTTAAGTGCACAGGGTTGTGTACTGTACACTAGGGGTTGTGACAACACTGAAAGAGTCTGCACACAAAGTTGACTCCAAGGTTTTTACACCCGGTCACAAGTGGGCTCGATCCCGGCACCTCAACCTCGCTGGATCACTAGCCTGGCGCCTTAGCCAGTTCGCCCACCGCGCCCCCATGGTTATATCGTGTTACGTCAGCTTGATGTGGGTGAAAAGTAACCCATGCTTGTCGTAAGAGGCGACTAACGGGATCGGGTGGTCAGGCTCGCAGACTTGGTTGACACATGTCATCGTATCCCAATTACGTAGGGCAGTAGTGTAACCTACTGGGTAAGTGTTCGATTCACAACATGGGTACAGCCAATTTCTAGTGTCCCCAGTCGTGATATTACTGGAACATTGCTAAAAGCGGAGTCCCTATACTCACTTTACTAACTCACTCACTCACCGAATTGCGGAGATCGATGCTCATGCTGTTGATCACCAGACTCGGTTATTTGAAGACCGATGCCATACAGCTGGAGTGTGGCGTTAAACAACAACCCCAGAGGTGAAGTGACGTTTACCACATTGGTAAAACAAACAACAAAGGGTTTGCGGCTGACAAACCTGGTAATACAATCAAGGCAAATGGAAAGCATGGTCGGAGGTCTCTGACATGCGTGCGTAAGTGAGTGAGTGAGGGAGTGAGTGAGGTGAGTTTAGTCTGACACCGCTTTTAGCTATATTCAATAATATCACGTCGGGTTACGATGACGTGTTTAATGGATATAAAATTTCGACCGAATTATAGACCGTTTGGCTCAAAAGCGGAATGATGAATTGCAATCTAACTCGAAAACTAATAAACATATAACACTCAATGAAACGCTGATTATAATCAAAACATCATACCAACTCTGAGATATATTGCAGAATTTATGTCCTAAAATTAAAAAAGTCGTTTAACAAACTATCATTAAAATATTGACACAATTCACTATGTGTTACGAGGGAGGAGTGCAGAGAAAGGGACAGCCAGGTTTTAGGGAAGCACATGCACAAGTGCCGACAAAGTTATTGATTCATTAACCTGTGCTGTGCCACCTCCATCCTTTCTCGCACACCTGGCTGTCCCTTTCTCTGCACTCCTCCCTCGTAACAAATAGTGAACTGTGTCAATATTTTAATGATAGTTTGTTAAACAACTTTTTTATTTTTAGGACATAAATTCTGCAAAAACCTCACTGAGTTGGTCTGACGTTTTGATTATGATCAGTGTTTCAGTGAGTATTTTATGTTTATTAGTTTTCGAGTTAGATTCCAATTCATCGGTCCACTTTTGAGCCAAACGGACTATATCTTACGATCTTGTACCTTCACAACTCGCTAATAGGTAAACAGTATTCTACTTGAAATATAAAATATCAACGCCAGACAATAACTAGTCTGGATTATCTAACAAAAAAGGGCAACTTTCATTATTGTAACTGATCGCTGAAAAATATCAGTGATAACATTAGGTGTCGCGAAAAGAGGAGGAATGCCCTTCAGTTATCATAATACACGGAATTGGCGTAAATGTTTATGTATCTGTTGTACTGCTGCACAGCAGCGTAATCAAGAAGATTGTACTAACCAGGGATCATAACTTATAGGTTCGAGCCAAAAGATAGCGGATCCTTGCATTGATTAAGGTCGAAATTGATTAAGGCCGAGTCTGTCTTAGCACTAAGATCGTGTTGTGCAAACGGGCACAAACCATAAAAGTTCCAAACTTAGGAAATGAAACACAGGATTCCACGTGACGAAGCTTGTGGCTAATATTCAGAAACAGGTACTGGTATTTTCATGGTTTACCTGCACCAGGTTCGATCATGACGTGAGAACACGAGCAATTCAACTGAACCACCGAGCTCGCGATCTCTCGAGAACAAAACGAACACAGCCACTGTATGAATTAGTATGTTTATTACAATTGAACTACCACCTACGGAAAATGCGAGACTGTACAAGTATTTTAGTAATATATTTTGTAACGAACCGGTAAATATGCATAAATGAACTTGAATACGTTGATTAGACCAGTCATGTCTTGTATGAGAGAAGCCAGACATTCCAAGAGTGTGAGTGAGTGAATGAGTATGGTTTTACGCCGCTTTAGCAATATTCCAGTAATATCACGACGGGGAATCGAACCCGTGGTATTCGGCGTGACGTGCAAAAGCTTTAACCACTAGGTTACCCCCACCGCCCCACCAAGTTAGGAATGTTCTCAAGCAAGCTGCGCTGGTCTCAAGAAGAACTGTCAAAATGATGTCATACTTCTAATTATCGTTTAAACGCGTGACAAATGATTACTTGGCCATCAAGTCGTCCTAAAATGTGATGAAGATATCTAGAATATTAGAAAATTCACTCACGCTGTCCTCTCTTTACAATGTTTTCTCCTATACAATCACTTTTAAAATGCGCCGTTGATACCATTTTTGACGGAGAGCATTTTTTTGAGATAAATGATCTCCCTAATGAGCACCATAAGACATTCATATCTTGACATGTGAAACCCATGTTATTTATACAAATTAATCTTTATAAATGATAAAATGCCTTTGACAGTGACCACATTTACTGACATAAGATATCTCCTATCCAAATACGATCAGCATATAGTTTTTAAGTTATCAACCCACTCTCACTCACACAAACCCATCTTATTAACATGAAAAGTAATATCTCAAACTCTACTTTTGAGGGAGACCAAATTTGCTGACATAAAATATCTCCCCTCCCAAAACGATCAAACGTACATGAACATACAATTCACCAACCGAACATCACCTATAACACGAAAGCAATATCTCAAAATTTCTTTGAGGGAGACCAAATCTCCCCTCCCAAAACGATCAAATTTACATACAGTTCACCAACCAAACTTCATCTGCACAGATCCATTTATTAACACTAAAGAAATATCTCAAAAACTACTTTTGAGGGAGACCAAATTTACTAACATAAAATATCTCCCCTCCCAAAACGATCAAACTGAGCACAACACCGGCCAAGAGAATGAAAAAAGCGGCAGAGAACCTTTTGAAGGACAACTGGGTCTCCAGCCGAATACCACTAATACCGAACACATCGATCACAGGACTTCCACGGATCTTAATTTCATTCTTTCCTCCAAAGCTACATTGATAACTCTTCATCCATTTTCGTTTCCTGTTGGCCAGATAACTGTTCTGCTTGAGTCTCAGGATGTAGGGATTGAGTAGGGTACACACATCACTGTTCTGCCCGCAAGCGAATCCGTAGGCTCTGTCGTCCAAGGGTTGTCCAATGACCATGGTATCGCAAGGATATTGACCGGCGTAGTATTCCGCCGACGGACCTTCCATGATGAAAGCGTAGTTTCCCTGCCGGACGCGAGCAACGCCTTCGCTCACGGACCTTGTAAGCAGCGTGGCGTCGGATGACATCTTCTTCCACAGCCGTTGTTCCAGGGGTCTCTTTGACTTGGAGAAATAGTAGTTGGTGTAGCCTTTAGACAACGTGCCGTATTTGATTTCCGTCTGTTTGGACAGTTCGTCGAAGGACATGAAGGGATTGTGCGAATGTCAGGGTCTGACAAGGAGGAAGGCCGTGAAGTTGGCGGCGAAGGTGGTGAAGACGAGGGTGGTGAAGATCCACCAGAAGATGGACATTATGCGACCGGAAGAGGATCTTGGAACTCCTGCTCTTTCTGTAAGAAGAGTAAGTTAGTGTTAATTATTTCTCTTTGACTTAATAAGATGTCTATGCGTAAATATCCGGGCTAGAACTTATCTTCAGCGTCGTAAGAGGTGACTTACACGATCTGATGGTCAGATTCACTAACTTGGTTGACACATGTCATCGTATCCAAACGTGAGGATTTATGATCATGCTTTTTATCACCGGAATGTCTGGTCCAGACTCGATTACTTACAGACCGGCGCCATATACATGTAGCTGGGACATTGCTGAGCCCGGCGTTAAAGAACAATCAATTAGGAATGATGAGGACTCTTTTTGGGACAGCAAGATTAGTACTATTTTTAAAACAAATGATGTGATTGTGTTGAGGTGATATGAACTTAGGAATCTATTTAGAATATCACATTTATAATATTTTGATGATATGTGCAGGGACAAAAATATGAAATATGGCCATAGGGATCAGAACAGAATATGAGATTGTCGAGCCCTAGACCAGTTTAGCGGCGTACAGTTTAGTGAATTTTAGCAATAGTGTATCCATTATTATCGTCGGTAGGGCTGCCACACTTTCCTTACCTTGGTGCATGAAGGAGCTGATGGTGTAGATGAAGGCGTTGACGAGCGTGGTGGTGAGGGGATGTCGTCGCCGACGTGGGGGTTGTCCTGAAGTTCTTCGTACGGGCTAAGCTTTCCGATAGCGAAGAAGATGAGACTTGCCACCGACAAAGGATGCGAGGATCATGAACCACAGCCCGGTGGTGAAGGGCGAGAGGAGGGATGAGAAGGACTGGTTGTATGTGGACGTCGTGGGCTTCTTGTACAGGATGCGGATGCCGGCGTCCATGATGGGCTGGGAAAACGTGATGACGCCAGCCCTTGTGGATGCTATGGTGAGTGGAGCTGCAGCAAATGTCTCGCCACCTGCAGATAATAATAATAATAATAATAATTACTACACTGTTTCAATACTCTCATTGACACAAGTTATGTTCCTCCCATGGTTCTGCAAAGGTCGCACAATACTTCTCCCCAAGAAAGGAGACTTGGCTGATCCCAAAACTTCCGCCCTATCACATGTTTGAATACACAATACAAAATATTCACAGGGTGTTTGGACAAACTCGTGTCATCTTACTGCTCTTTCAATGATATAATTTTACAGAGAGCAGAAGGGAGCAAGAAAGGGATGTTGGGGTGCAAGGATCAACTTCTTTGTACAAAAAATGATTTTGGAAGAGGCTAAAACATATCACCGCAACCTCTCCATGTGCTGGATTGACTACAAAAAAGCATACGACTCTGTCCCTCACGAATGGATTCTGAAGTCTCTTCATTGTATTGACCTCCCGGAGCGACTACTTGATTTACTCAAGTCTTTAATGAGTTGCTGGTCGACTCAACTTGAGATGTACTCGCAAGGGCAGGTGCAGACTTCGGAATCTATTCCAATCAGAAGGGGAATAATTCAGGGGGATTCCTTTAGTCCTTTGCTTTTTTGTCTGTCTTTAGATCCTTTGAGCTTTCTGCTCAATAAAGAGGAGGGTTACCATCCCGGACCTCCTCAGCACAGATCCCCAACACCTCTTACTCATCTCCTTTACATGGATGACATCGAGCTCCTTGCCAAAGGAGATTCCAATTTGAAAGAGCAGGTTCTCCTTGTCGAGTCCTTTTCTAATGATATTGGCATGACATTTGGACTCGACAAATGTAATACTGTCCATTTGAAACGTGGCAAGGTAACTAATGATGGATCGGTCAAGTTACAAGGGGGAGGAATTATTGAGAATCTTGTGGAAGATCAGGCCTACACCTATCATGGAATGCAAGTTCGAGACAAGCTCCAGAATGCCCAGATTCAAGACAAACTTCGGGCCGAGTACAAATCTCGTTTAAAGAAAATCTGGAGCTCAGAGCTAAATGCTCGAAACAAGGTCAAAGCCACCAATACGTTTGCTGTGCCAGTCCTTTCCTATTCCTTTGGAGTAGTTGATTGGACAAAACAAGACATCCACAGTCTTGACCGTCTGACCAGAAGGATCATGTCTGATAATAGAGCCCACCACCCTCGTTCCTCTCTTAACCGTTTATACATGCCAATCAATTCTGGAGGTCGGGGTTTGATTAATGTGGAGGCTCTTCGTGATAGAATTTATTGTGTTCTTTTGCACATATTTATTTATCGGATGATCCTCTGGTGATGCATGTGAAGACTAATGATGAAAGCAAGGAATTCCACAGCTATTTTAAGCGTGCCAAGGTTGTTGGACAGAATCTGAGATTTAAGGTTGATTTTGTTGATGGCGATGTACTGCTGGATGGTACAGCGATGGGAGTAAACCAGGTGAAGTCCTTCACCAAGTCTGCCCAGAGTCGGTCTTTTGTGGAGAAGCTTTCTGAGAAGCCATTGCATCGTGTGTACATGCAGTGTGTTGAACAGAATAGCAATCCTACCGACTCCTTCGCCTGAATGAAGTCAGCTGGTCTTAAATGTGAAACTGAGGGCTTTCTGTTTGCTGCTCAGGACCAGTCACTTCCCACTCGTAATCGCCTAACTGTGATTCTTAAAGAAAATATCAACATGAAATGTCGACTTTGCAATGAATTCACAGAGACTGTCCAACACCTTGTCAGTGGATGCCCTTCCTTGGCACAAACAGCATATCTTAAACGACATGATGGCATGGCTCGTTGCTTTTACTACCGTCTCCGACATGCCTGTGGCTTTGACTCCGAGGTCCATCCATGGTACGACCCTGAACATGTCCAGGGCGTCATGGAAAATGATACTTTCAAACTTCTCTGGCATAGGCCCATATACAGCCTGAGGAGAATTCCAGCCCAAAAACCTGATCTTGTCCTTTTTGATAAAGCCAATGAATGTAAAAATATTATTGCATTTTCTATCTTTTTTTGACACCAATGTGTTTGACAAGATTCAGGAAAAGCATACTAAGTATGCGGACCTCGCCTTTGAAATGTCTCGCTTGCATCCCAAGTACACTGTCGTCAGGCTACCCATTGTTCTCGGTGTCCTTGGTTTGGTACCTCCTAGTCTCTTGGCGCAGATCAGGAGAGTGCCCGGATTCTCCACCGGGAGTACAGCCCTTCTGACACTCTGGGTAATGCAGAAGGCTGCAGTGTTGGGGAGCCTTCATATTCTCCGGAAAGTTCTTAGTGGGTTCGACTAGGCAGCGTTTCCTGGGGGAAGTCCCATTCGCTGTCTGGGCTGCGTGTAGAGGGGGCAAGGGCCCTGAGCTCATGATGAGCTTTAAAAGCCTGACTGTGCCAGGATCACCCGAACCCTCTCTGCTGCATATTATCTTTAATCTGTAAAACATAACAATAATAATAATCGACGAAGAGTGTAACATATGCAATATTTGGGAATAACCTTTCTTAGTAAAGTACAGATTCTAGTACTACTTTGTTGGGCTGAGTTCCATTCGGGATTCGAACCCACACCCTCAGAGTCAGCCAACACACACAATCAGCCGCCTAACCCGCTCAGCCACCGCGACTTGGACATTTAATCAAACTGCAATGAGGGGTACACAATTTAAAGTCCGCAGTCTAGACTACCAGTTGTAGGACTTCCATTTTTGTGAAAAATCGAAATTGATTCGATGATAATAGAAAAGGAAGGAATTTCAAATGCTTTTCTGATCAGGTCAAGTTTACTCGATTGGATGATAAATGAGAGGGAAGGACTGCTTTTGTATTTTCGCGATATCACTGCTGTCAATTCGTCATGTACGTTTATTGTGTTAATGTTCCTGTTAACAGTAAGCGAAGTAAGTCATCGTTGGCCAATCTATCTCTATCAGGTGACTGCATTATGCCTTTGTTCATAAAGCTAGAATCGAAAGGTGGAGTGGGAACTGAATAACACACTTATAATTGCGTTAACACCAATTTGTGGTTAAAGCCAGATCAACGCAAGTCGTAATTAAATTTTTGAACGAAGAAATTATTATTTGAAACTACAAATTATAAAAATACAAGTCTTGTATGCATTCGAAGAGAATAGGATAATATCACAACTACAGAAATGTGTGCACACTGGGAATAGATTTTCCAATCCCCTACTACCGTCAGATAACCGCTCTTTTCATCAGCCAACTCTCGTCTCACCAACCCCAACAAACAATCCCCCACCCCGCCAACCCCCACCCCCACCCCACGTTTCTTCCATATATTATCTTTACCCCTTCCCAATCTATGACACGCCATCTACGTTGTACCTTCTTTTTTAAATATGATACCGCTGATGCTCAATTTTGTGATATTGGGTTCCTATCTTACCACTCCCTCAAGTTAGTCGTCTCCCCCCATGCCACATAGTGTTTCGATAGCGATAGTCTATTGCCACACACTGCTGTGATAGCGATAGTCTATTGCCACACACTATTGCGATAGCGATAGTCTATTGCCACACACTATTGCGATAGCGATAGTCTATTGCAACATACTATTGCGATAGCGATAGTCTATTCCCACACACTGTTGTGAAAGCAATAGTCTATTGCCACACACTATTGCGATAGCGATAGTCTATTGCCACACACTATTGCGATAGCGATAGTCCATTGCCACACACTATTGCGATAGCGATAGTCTATTGCCACACACTGTTGTGATAGCGATAGTCTATTGCCACACACTGTTGTGATAGCAATAGTCTATTGCCACACACTGTTGTGATAGCAATAGTCTATTGCCACACACTGTTGTGATAGCAATAGTCTATTGCCACACACTGTTGTGACAGCAATAGTCTATTGCCACACACTATTGCGATAGCGATAGTCTATTGCCACACACTATTGCGATAGCGATAGTCCATTGCCACACACTATTGCGATAGCGATAGTCTATTCCCACACACTATTGTGATAGCGATAGTCTATTGCCACACACTGTTGCGATAGCGATAGTCTATTCCCACACACTGTTGTGATAGCGATAGTCTATTGCCACACACTGTTGTGATAGCGATAGTCTATTCCCACACACTGTTGTGATAGCGATAGTCTATTCCCACACACTGTTGTGATAGCGATAGTCTATTGCCACACACTGTTGTGATAGCGATAGTCTATTCCCACACACTGTTGTGATAGCGATAGTCTATTGCCACACACTGTTGTGATAGCGATAGTCTATTGCCACACACTGTTGTGATAGCGATAGTCTATTGTCACACAGTGTTGCGATATCGATAGTCTATTGCGACCAACTATTTGAACTATTTTGAAGTCATTTCTCAAATGAATACACAGTATATGAAAAAAAACCAAGTTGTTTCAGTCTTCTTTAATATCTGACAAGAAACTTGAAGCCCTGATCAAGTAAACAGTTAAAACAAACCCATTGTTATTTACAAATTCAAACTCCGCGTTTGTCGACATGTTTGTTTAAGAGGTAACAGGGGCGGATAAATTTAAAATCAAAGTGAATGAATTTGTATTTTGCGCTGCTCAATTATCAACGGAAGTCAATTTCTAACCTATCGATAGTCACCCATACTATCGATGCATCGATAGTTTTTCGTTTCTGCCATCGATTAATTGCTATCGAAGACTCAACAATTGCAACCCATCGATAGTTCGATACATCCTTACAGCACTGCTACTCACGTTGTTCATCACCTCGCCGATCATGCCGTTCCATTGTCCTGGAGTGGCCTCAGATCCGTACATATTGTCGGAGACCACGTGCATGTCGTACGTGAAGTTGGCCTGATTTGCGATCTTGCTGATGATGTCGACAAGGATGCCCTCAAACTTGTCACCGAATCTGCTCTGAGAGATGTTGTTGTTGACGATCACAAATGGTGGAGACTGGAATCAGAATAATGTAGTTAGGTTGTACTCAAAGCCATGAATTACTAAAATAAAAGCGACAAAACCCTTTCAACATTCATAACACAACCTCTCCTGAAAGCAGAGTCCACAACAATTCCGATTATAATGTGAGCACGTGTATATGAATCATTATCTAATAGCACAACTTCGTTTCATCCGAAGAGTTAACGCTCATTGTTGAGTCAGGATGCTTATATGAAAACCTGCAGCTGAAGGAAGACTTTTTCGTTCTGATATTTTCTTGAACAGTCTTTTTAGCAATAATATTCAATGCGCTCTTTAAAAGATAAAAAACAGCGTGATCTTTGCGTGACCCTTATCCAATCAAAACAAATGAAATAGACCCTTATATGATACACGTGTCACGTGGGTATTTAGTATCTCTCCACATGCCTCGTCTCGCAGCGATTGTACAAGACGATACAGGTCACGTCTGTGTCACGTACATCTATGGGAATCAGTCGTCAGTTCCTCTTTGCAGGATTGTCACAGAATTCCTTAGGCAGCAGGGTGTTGAGCGGACCTCAACGCAATTCAGCATGCCTGGGATGAACTCCTCGGTCGACGTGCACACGTCACCCAGCACCAGTGGATCTCTCAGGACTCCGCAGAGCTCTAGTAGAGGAATGAAATGCGATTCCGCAAGCTTCCTTTATGAACTTGATAAGGAGCATGAGAACAAGGAGAATCTGTATCTTGGACCCACTGAGGAGGATACACAAGATATTCAATGATCGAGTGCTTCATTTTTGTCATATTTCATTTTGGGGGTTGGTCTATATAACCGATGTTTGCTAGTGCACTCTGAGTGAGTAGGTGAGTAAGTATTTTCAGACGGCTTAGGACATTATTCAATAATATAATATAAAGTCCACGGTGTTTCAGCTTAACTCTGGGTGAAGGCTCCAAGTGATGTAGGTCTCACAAATCATCTCTGTTAAAACCCATTATCACGTGCATTGTGCAGACTAACCTAGAAACATAATCGAGATGAAACGGGATCGACCCTCGATCACGGGTCGCCTGTGTTACCAAGGAGCGCAACTCTGTAAGCAAATCGAACCTCCTTAAACAGGTTGGATCCACATGTTCATTAAGAACCGTTTTTTGAATGAATTTCAGCAGGCTATAGCTAGTGAGTAAGTATGGTTTTAACACGCTTTTAGCAATATTCCAGCAATATCAACGAGGGGGACACCGGAAATGGGCTTCACATATTGTATCCATGTGGGGAATTGAACCCGGGTTTGCGTGACGTGCGAATGCATTAACCACTAGACTACCCCACTGCCCCTAGAACTGACTGACTGACTGAGTTTAGTTTTCGCCGCTTTTAGCAATATTCCAGCAATATCACGGCGGGGGACACCAGAAATGGGCTTAACACATTGTGCCCATGTAGGGAATCGAGCCCGGGTCTTCAGCGTGACGAGCCAACGCTTTAACCACTAGGCTACCCCACCGCTCCCACTGCCCCTAGAAAAGACTATAGGGTCAACATAGTGGTGGTACCGGTTGCTCGACGCACCTAATTGTATTTTGAACATGGCTAGCTGACTACATTCTGCAAAGTGGCACAAATGTCAGTTCACAAAATTCACAAATTTATTCACCACCGCAGTGGGAAAACAGATGTTACTTCGTCAAAAATTCCACGTTTCCAAATCGACCGTGACATGCAATTAATTCTAAACAACATTCTTTCTTCCCTGCTGATTACTAGAGTATTCCATTCTCAAAGGGGCCTTAAACGACCTCCACTCCCAAACAGTGTACTTTCAAAAGTAAAGATCGATAACGAGATAATGAAATTACTTTTTGTCACAGTGGAAACCCCGTGACTGTAACAAACATTAAGCAGCACAACAAGGTGAACAAGTATCGATAATTGATCGTATGCCATTTTTATATTGATGATAAAGTAATTGGCACAATAAAGACATCGCTGAACAGAGACGCCGCTAACGCTAACAACATCTTACAAATTGAATTCTACAATTGCTTCCCCATGGGGGTATTAAGTGTCTTTGTATAAACCTGACTTTCAAAGGCCCTTCGGAATGTTGGAAGTGAGACCCAGTTTGTATGATTGGTCATATATAATATTTTGACCATAATACCGATTGTTTGGACTTCTTAATGATTCTTCAATACACATTGGTTAATGGTTCAATCATGAGACGGTCAAGGTCTTAGAAGTGATATATTAATCACCTAAAAAAAAGAATGGAATATAACCGTTTATTCGTATCGGGTGGTCATTTTCTATCTATGTCTATGTTTGAACTGTCAATTCCCAGTCGACCCTAAAGCGGCCTTCACACGGCAAACTAAAGTTTGACAACACGTGTTGTTAGAATTTTAAAAGTTGTTTTCACACGTCAAACACATGCTGTCAAACTTTCGTGTCATTTTGAGTAATGCCTTTGAAATGTCTCGCTTGCATCCCAAGTACATTGTCGTCAGACTCCCCATTGTTCTTGGTGCCCTTGGTTTGGTACCTCCTGATCTCTTGGCGCAGATCAGAGAGTGCCCAGGTTCTCCACTGGGAGTACAGCCCTTCTGACACTGGGTAATGCAGAAGGCTGCAGTGTTGGGGAGCTCACATATTCTCCGGAAAGTTCTTAGTGGGTTCGACTTGGCAGCGTTTCCTGAAAGAAGACCCATTCACTGTCTAAACTGCGTAGCGCAAGCGCTTTGAGCTGATAAAAGCTTAATCTACAGTTTGGCGCATGAAATGCATGTGGACCCGTTTTTGTAAATATCTTCTTCATCCAATGACCCGCTGTTACAGGTCATTGGCCTCCTCCTCTGCAAGCCGTCTGCGTTCTACTGTTTATTTTGTTGCCAGTTACATAGAAAAATTCTTTAATACAAATGCATAAAATCGGTGATTTACAATGTGATTAGGTTGTTCGACAAAACATCCACCTGCACAGTTTGAGATCTATTGGGTCATTGATGAAGAGATATTTACAAAAAACGGGTCCACATGCATTTCACGCCAAACTATAGCCTGACTGTGCCAGATCACCTCGAACCTCTCTGCTACATACCATTTTTAATCTGTAGAACATAATAATAATTGATGATATTTTTACGCGCCCAGCATCCATTGACAGGTTCATGGACATATGCACACAATCGTGAATGCTGGAGTGGAAGAGGTGTGTCTTAAGGCGAGACTTGACAACGTCTTTTAGATGTAGTGTCACTTAGTCCAAAAGGAAGAAAGTGCCATAACTGGAGATCCAAACCGAAAAGGTAACGGCCTGGCATCTCAGAAGTAAACAATAGCTGATTAAGTAGTGCTCATCTGGAGGATCGAAGTGCACGTACAAGAGAATAGAGAGAGATTAAGTTCTTAAGGCATTGTTGTGACAGTCATGATGATAATACAGATCTTGAAGTTAAGGAGAGTGCAAACCAGTGCAAGGTTTAGTGGTGTAGAGTACTCGTACGTTCAGACAATTAATTAGGAGCCTGGAACGATCCGTGGAATGAATCAATGATCGTGTGTCCTCGTGAAGATCCGCGTTAGAATTGATCTTCAGCAACCCAAGAGGGTACTAACGGGATCGGGTGGTCATGACTTGGTTGACACATATCATCGTACGCCAGTTGCGTAGATCGATGCTCATGCTGTTGATCATTTGATTGTCAGGTCTATACACGAGTATTTACAGACCACCGCCCATAGATTCGATATTGCTGAGTGTGGCGTTAAGCAACACACAAACAAAGAATGATTGTGTGGACAATGGTCACGACTGATAGGTGAAATAACAGACGCTCATAAATGCTCTTGAGGTGATGTTGGTACGCTGTCGGTATTTGTGTCTCCCAGGGCGCGGTAAGTTTGTGTTTCCGCGTTCATTCTCCACGTGTGTGCACACTGATGTCATATTTGTGCGTTGCGCAAAACCCTAAATGGCTACCAAAGAAACCATTCACCATGTAACCCGGAGGTCGCATTTCGATAAACCGTTACCAACGTAGGAATCCATACCCATCTCAAATTACCTGCGCTTGATTTTTCTCACCTTTGATTTGTTACGCTGATTTAACGGTCCAATCAGAATCTCCGTTACATACCAACCTGATTGTAGAACCGACGATCTTAATAACATGGCAGTTAATTTTTTTTTATTACAATAGAAATTACAATGAATCAATAATAATGTATGACACCAATCAAGTCCTCGAAAATATTTGATGGAAGGCATATCTCCATGTCTATTAAAGCCAGGTAATATGAGTTACCTCCCTACTCACTTACATTTAGCTTATCTTGATTGGTCGCTCGAATTGTACGCAAACCAAAGGCGCGACATTTAAAATCGTCAGAACCACGGGAATTGATTCACGAATGCGAGCTCCGAAGATGCTTCGACTTCTCATAATCCGGTCGAATTTTGGAATTCAAAACCAATGCTCGTCAAACATCAAACATATTTATATAACTACCCTTTCTGAGATGATGCAGTTTCCGGAGATCATGCTCATTAAAATAAAATATACAGACTAGGATCGATTGTGGACTGACTGGCATGAAACACAAATGCTTGTGTTGTTGACATGTGCCTGACAATCCGTTTTAAGCGATATAATATGTTTTCTGACGAAACATTACCAAATAAGGTGCTTTAAAATCAACACGCAAAACACGTGGCAGCTCTAATGGACAAACAGCAAGCGCTATAAGACAATTCAAAGGGATGAACGAAGAGTGTGAGCTGAAAGGGCTGTGATGAGTGACTGATGAGGGCGTGCATCTACTTCCAGAAAATATATGCAATTAAGTTGTATCACGGTGGGTCTGTTTTATGAGGAAGGACATCCTGTAGCCATGTATCTTAGACTTACATTTTGAGAGTGAGTGTAATACGATCTATTAATTTTGCGACTTTTATTCTTGATTTTAAAGCGTGTTTTTTCTGCAAATGGCGTTGATACAATGATATGTTCATATGTAG